CTGAGCCCCTGGTGGCCCTGCACTGCCACAGCCACAGGAGCAGGAGGGCCCAGCCAACTCCAGGCTGATGCCCTCCCCGTCCCGCCGGCCACAGGCTCCACCCCCGCCACCGAAAGGCTCTGCTGCTCTCAGCGCCCAGCCGTGTCTCCAAATGACTGGCTGCTGTTTTTCTTGTGGCTGCAGCGGTTTTCTAAGAAGGTAACTCACACTGCAGGAAATAAAAATAGTTACCATTCAGGCCACACCTGCAGGCCGGGCCTACCGGACCTGGTCCCAGAGGCTACAATGTGCACGGATACACACATCACACATGCCTATGTGCACACGTGTGCACGCACCCGCCTGCCCACAGGTGCACCCGCACACCCGCACACACACGTGCATGGATACACACATCACACATGCCTAGGTGCACACACGTGCACACACCCATCTGCCCACAGGTACACCTGCACACCTGCACACACACGTGCACAGATAGACACACCACACGTCTATGTGCACACACGTGCACACACCATCTGCCCACAGGTGCGCCTGCACACCTGCACACACACGTGCACAGACACATCACACATGCCTATGTGCACACACATGCACACACCCGCCTGCCCACAGATGCACCTGCACACCTGCACACACACATGCATGCATCCATCCTCAGCCCCTTTCTCTGGAGCAGCAGGGGCATGTGGTTTGTCTGAAGTCCATAGCAGGAGAGTCAGCCACTGAGCCGGAATCAGGAACTGCGCCCGGCTGGCCGACACTGCTCATCTGGGCAATGAAACTCTTTTCCCCATGAGGCCCTCCTGGCTGCTCGTTGGCCATGGGGAGAACGTGCCACCCTGCCTTGCCCTCGCTGCTCCCACAGCACCAGCCAGGGCTCCGTGTACCTGCATGCCTCTTGCTGGAAGGATAGAATCTGCCCCGTCAGACATCCAAACCACACCCCAGGGCTCTGAGAGCAGGTTCCCAGGAGGAGCGGGGCAGGGCCTGGCTGGCGTCCCCGTGGCCCTGAGCACCAGGAAAGCAGGGTCTGCCCACCCTGGGAGGTCTCTTGAGCCCGGGCACTCAGCCCTGGTCCTCCTGGTCCACCGGGATGACCCTGCCCTGTTCCTGCCTCTCCCAAGCACCCCTGACTCTGGGAAGCCCGTCACAAACACCTCCCTGGGAAAGCGGGCTGCAGAGGGCACCGCTCGGCTCTCACCACAGCCTCAGGCAGCACTGGCACCCAGAGCAGGGGCCCAGGTGCGATGCCAGCCGGGCTCCCCAGAGGTGGATCTTCGCTCCGGGACCCCACTGCCCCCGGGTCCAGCCCAGGTCCTGCCTTTGGCAGCTGCTCCACAAAGAAAGGAGAATATACACAGTGCCCATGGTTAGGGGAGTCCCATCACATGGCGCCCAGCCTGGCTCATGGGTGAGGACAGCAAAAGCACCAAGAAATGACCCGAGAGGCCTACAGCAGCTCCCGGGAGGGCCCGGCAAGAAAGCCCCACAACCACCTCACATCCATCATCAACAAAAACAGTGCGAGTGTTGGCGAGGACGTGGGGAAGCCCGTGCAGCACTGCAGGGATGTCAGACGGTGTGGCTGTTGGGGAAGACAGGGAGGCAGGGCCTCAAGCCAGGAGGACCCCATGACACGCCAATTCCACCTTGCCAGAGGCACGGCCCCAGAAGTGACAGTGGGTCTCAGGGACACACCGGGCACCCACGTTCACAGCGGCGTTCTTCACACCAGCTAACTCATGGGCCAGCCCACACGTCCACTGCCAGAGCAATGAGCAAACATAATGTGGCCCGCACTCACAGTGGAATATTTTTCAGCCATAAGCTGAGAATTCTGACACATGCTGCAACATGGACAGGCCCCGCGGATGTGACATTGAGTGAAACTGAGAGACTTTTTTTTTTTTTTTTTTTTTTGAGACACAGTCTCACTCTGTCGCCCAGGCTGGAGTGTGGTGGAGCGATCTCAGCTCACTGCAACCTCCGTCCCCTGGGTTTGAGCAATTCTCCTGCCTCAGTCTCCCTAGTAGCTAAGATTACAGGCGCCTGCCACTGCACCCAGCTAAATTTTGTAGTTTTAGTAGAGACGGGGTTTCACCATCTTGGCCAGGCTGGTCTTGAACTTCTGACCTCGTGATCCACCCGCCTTGGCCTTTCAAAGTTCTGAGATGACAGGCGTGAGCCACCTTGTGTGGCCTGAAACGGAGAGACTTTGTTAGTGGCCGTATTTGCTCACAACCCTGGGACTCAGACATTTGGTTTTGGCTGGTCTCCTGGCCTGGTCTACCCAGGCTGCCCTGCCACTGAAGCCACGTGGTGGTTGCTGCTGGCCAATGACTCCTTGGTATACATCTGGTCCACTTCCTGAGTTCCAGCTCCTCCCCTCCAGGGTGGCCTCTGGCTCTCAGGGTTGGGGTGACTGAGGCTGGCGGAGATGACACAGTCTCCTTCACAGCTGTGCCCAGGGAGGCTGCCAGGCACCCATCTACACAGCAGCACAGTGCAAGGCCAGCCTGCCCCTCCCTCAGCCGCCACCCACGCCTTTCTCACCAAGGGCGGGAGGCCCCAGGCAAGCAACGCAGGCACGGGGGCAGGGAGGCTTCCAGATCCAGCAGGAGCCTGGAGGCTTCTGCAGCCACACCCTTCCTGCAGGGAAACACCCCGGCAGCCTGGGTGAGCCCGGAACCATCTGCCCTGCTAGGGGGCTGTCCAGGGACCAAGTCCTGCCTGTGTTTTAGAGCAGGTTAAAAGCACTAGCACGCCCAAACAATCCACGCCTAGGCATTTTGGTATTCAAACTGCAGAAAGTTAAAGAAACACTCTTGAAAGAAGCCAGCAGGTGTGGGAGGAGGGACCCCTAAGCTATGGAAAAGAGTACATTATTTCCTACAGAATTAGTTTTGACTTTTCAGAAACTGTGCAAGCAAGAAGACAGTGAACCTGAAGTGTTGAGAAAAAACCCATAAGCCTAGAATTCTGTATCCAGTGAAATTATCCTTCAAAAGTCAAGGAGAAGTAAAGACTTCTTAGACGAACAAAAATTGAAAATATGTTACTAGTAGACCTGCCTTGCAAAAGGTGTAAAAAGTTCTTTAGAGAGGAAAAAAAAATGTACAAATCAGAAACTTGGATTTACATAAAGGGGAGAGTGCTGGGGAAGGAACAAGCAGGGGAACACATGCTTTTATTTTTCTTATTCTTTTTCTTTTAAGATGGGGTTTCACTATGATGGCCAGGCTGGTCTTGAACTCTTGACCTCAGGTGATCCACCCACCTCAGCCTTGAAGTGCTAGGATTACAGGCATGAGCCACCGCGCCCAGCGTATTCTTGAGTCTTGTCACAGCTCCTGTCACCCAGGCTGGGGTGCAGTGGTGTTATCACTGCAATCTCAATCACCCAGCTCAAGTGATCTTCCTACCTCAGCCTCCCAAGTAGCTGGGACCACAGGTGCACATCACCATGCCCAGCTAATTTTAATTTTTGGAGAGATGGGGTCTCACTATGTTGCTCAAGCTGGTTTTGAACTCCTGGCCTCAAACAATCCTCCCACCTCAGCCTCCCAAAGTGCTGGGATTGTAGGTGTAAGCCACTGTGCCTGCCCATTAATCTTAATTGATCTAACACATAGAAGTTTGTTCAAAGTTATAACAATGTCCTATGCTTATGGGTAAGTGAAGCTAATGACAGCAGCGGCACAGGGACAGTTAGTGAACTGGGAGCACATTGTTACTAAAAGATACTTTTGGAGGGGTACAGAGGCTCACGCCTGTAATCCCAGCACTCTGGGAGGCCGAGGCAGGTGGATCACCTGAGGTCAGGAGTTTGAGACCAGCCTGGCCAACATGGCAAAACCCGATCTCTACTAAAAATACAAAAGTTAGCTGGGTGCCGTGGTGTGTGTCTGTAGTCCCAGCTACTTAGGGGGCTGAGGCAGGAGAATCCCTTGAACCTGGGAGGTAGAGGCTGCAGTGAGCCATGATCTCACCACTGCAGAGATGGGTGGCAGAGCAAGACTGTCTCAAATAAATAAAGGCATGTGTAGGGCTGCAGCCGCACTGGGTCAGGGGGTGTCCCCTGCAGCCGTGCTGAGTCGCTGGAGCCGAGAAACAAAGACACAGGACACAGAGGAGCTGGAAAGGAGCAGCTGGGCTCAGGGGGCCGCGCCACCTAGGAGACGTCCGTAAGCGTGTGTATTTATTAGGTACAGAGCAGGGGGAAGGGTCGTGAGGTCGTTCCAGGCCTGAGCAATGCTTTTGCGAATTTGCTGTGTGGAAACCTCGAAATGAAGGCCATACACTCACGCACATGTGAATAAACACGTGGTACACGGGGCCCCTCCCACAAAATGTGTCCATACAAGCCTATAGAAAGTGAGGAGCCCCACCTTACCCTGGATGTGGGAGGCTCCTCCGCTGTCTGGCTGGACCAGGGTAATCCTGGCCCCAGGGCAAGTGTCACGGGCGTGGGCAGTGGGCATGGGCACCCGTCAGGCCGCCAGAGGAAGGCCACAGGAGAACCCAGCTCCCGTGGAGGAGGAACCAGAAGTGCCAGGCCGAGACCCGAGGTGGGGTGCAACGGGGACCTTCCTGCCTTACCCACGGACCCCCACGCCCTCTCAAGGCAGTGGATGAATTCACTGATTCCACACGGCAGGGAGGGCTGAGGGGGTGTTGCGGGTGCCAGTGCATTGAGTCTTTGGGACCAGGGCCTGCACACACACACCCCACCCGTTCCGGGCCCAGCATCTGACACACAGAACAGCGTGCAGGTACCCAGGGCAGCGTTTCCCACCCCACCTCAACGCTGCAGCAGCCCCCTACCCACCGAGCTCAGGGCCTCGCAGGCTGGCCTGGCCCTGTGGCTGCTCAGGCAGAGACAGACCCAAAAGCAAGGGATACTGGACACCGAATGAAGTGTGCCGACACCTGACTCCCACCCCAAATGTTTCTCCTCCAAAACAATCCTGCACACACAGATGAATGCAGCAGAGTCCAATGCAATGCACTTTATTTCCCTTTGGACGTCTGCAAGCTTCTGCCACTCCTGAACCCCGCGGCCTGGGACCTATGCTACGGTCACTCCCCAAGGTCAATCTCGGGGGCTGAGGAGCTGCAATTTCCCTTTCTTCCTGCAAATTAAGAGAACTGAGACTCATTGAAGAAACCTCACTGCCCCTCCTCACACAGCAGTCTCAGCAGGCCTGAAACGCAGCTGTGGGAGGTTTCCATTTAGGGAAGGTGTTTATTCGCTGCGGCTGCAGGGTTTGCCTGCTTTAGAAACCACGTACACTGATTAACTCAAAAGCCACTCCAGACTAGAGAATCGACCTTTAACGGCCCATCAGTGTGGTACTTCTGGCTTCCTGATGAGAAGACTTGCAAACCTAAACACGTTCTTCCTTCCAAACCCTGAGTAACCTGAGCTGTAAAACCTCAGACAGGGAATTCTCTATTTCTAGAAAAGCTGGCTGCGCTTTGTTTTGGGGACACAGGCGAGTCCCCGTGGCAGAGAACGAATCACCCCTGGCCCCCCTCAACGTGAGAGCAGCGCAGCCACGCCAGGGTGAAGCGCCCCCGTCCACTGCGCTGCGCCCTCCTTACAGAGAGCGCGCCTGCAGGTTTCAGGAGAAAAGGGGCTGACAGCCCCCAGCTGGATGGAAGGCAGACACAGCTCCTCGGCCGGGGGTGAGGCCGAGTCCAGGCGCCAAGCTGGGCCTCGTCCTGCGAGTCACTTTCCGGAGAGTTCCAGCACCTTCCTCACCATGGCCCCGATGCCATCGTGGATGTGGTGGAGTGCTGTCTCACACATGAAGGCCGGGGTCGTGACCACCTTGTTTTTCTGGTCCACATGAGCTTCGTGTGCAGAGTTAAGGAAAAAACCACCGACAGACCCGTGGGACTTCAGGCGCCCTGCCCCGCCACCGCTCCCAGTGCAGCCCTTGCCACGCATCTGAACTTTGTTCTCAGAAAACTCAGAACAGGGGAACTTTGCTCCCGTAGTCTGTGCTGGCAGGACCCCGTTTTCTGTATGATTTATGCTGTTCAGTAAGAAGGGATCTGCTCCCTTCACATGCATTTTAGAGGAAGGTGGCAGCGGGAATTCCAGGACACAGGGCACTGCCCCAGGACCCCTTTCAGCCAGCACCACACAAGCCCAACACCTACACATGGCCAGGAGCTGCCCGCCATGGGGGCCCAAACACGCCAGGGGTCCTCACCAACACCGAGGGAGGCAGGGGCGGCGCCCACTTTTCAGGTGAATTGCTGGCCCGGGGGGAGCCGGTCCACACGCCGCAGGGTAGCAGGCAATAGGGCAACCGGTAGCACGACCGGGACAGGCCAGCCAGGCCGAGCCTCCCCAACGCCACATGCAACCCGGGCCGGGCCTCCACAACAACCAAGAACAGAGGCCGGGGGCCAGGCCCGCCCTGCGCTCCTGCCCGACAGCAAGGCCGAAGGGAGGGAGACAGGCCCCGAAGCTGCCTGGGACTAAAAAGCTGCTCTGCTAAGAGGAACCGCAGCCTTTAGAACAACACCGGCAAGGGACCGGGCCAAAGTCTACACAACACCGGCAAAGGACCGGGCCCAGTCTACCCACCCTAGTACCTTCCGCACGCTGGGCCGTTCTGATCGCTGAATTGGGCCCACGTGGACACTCTCCCGGGTCCAGGCAGGGCCTCCCTCCCAGTCTCCCTAGGCTGTAGCCCCACCAGTGCTCTGGGCTCATCATCTCAGGGCTTGGGGGCACACCTCGACCGGAGGTGCCGGAGGCCACAAGGTTGGCTGGAATCACCTGGCCATCCAAACTGGCCTGAGGACTTCCACCCAAACAAAGCCAGGAAGCCCCTGGCCCTGCACACCGGCCCCTCTCCCCAGATCTCAGGAAGCCCCTGGCCCTGCACACCCGGCCCCTCTCCCAAATCTCAGGAAGCCCCTGGCCCTGCACACCCAGCCCCTCCTCCAGCATCTCAGGAAGCCTCTGGCCCTGCACACCNAAGCCTCTGGCCCTGCACACCTGGCCCCTCCTCCAGCATCTCAGGAAGCCCCTGGCCCTGCACACCCAGCCCCTCCTCCAGCATCTCAGGAAGCCCCTGGCCCTGCACACCCAGCCCCTCCTCCAGCATCTCAGGAAGCCCCTGGCCCTGCACACCCGGTCCCTGTCCCACCACCCCTCGCACACACTCTCCCTCACCCTCCCAGGCCAGAGCATCCTGAGGTCCCACAGGCTCCCCTGCAGGGTACTGCCTGCTGCATCCTGCAGGCACTGACTGTGGCTGCCTGGGGGTGCTGAGCAGACTCAACAATCAGACTAGGGGGCCTGGACCACCTGCCAACCACACACCAGAGCTGCGTGCCCGCCAGGTGTCTGTGGCCCACCCGGCGCCAGCTGGGAAGTCACAGCCATCTGCCCTATGCCCTCAGACACGGCTGCAGTGCCAACCGGGGAAGGCCCCACTGGCCGACTAGCAGGTGCAGCTCTCACTGAAGAGGCCCCCTGGTGAAGAAGCCATAGGCCAAGGCAGCCCGGAGGGGGGCGCCCCTACACACGTCTCAGGGACAAGCGTGACAGCAGGCCGGGCCCACCTGCCAGGAAGGATATGGCCACTCCCTTCACGCAGTGCTTGGCACCCAGGGCCTTGATGGCCTCCGCGGTCCCGGCGTAGGGCCACTTGCCGCCTTCCTCCTGCTCGTGGCCCACGGTGACCTCAACGCCTCTGAGCACCTTGGCCGCGAGGACAGGTGCGATGCAGCACAAGCTGAAAGGCAAGAACACACGTCAGGCGGGCACCGGACCCAGGCCGCACGGCCTGCAGGACAGACATGACCCACGCCACAACCCCAGGCAGCTCTGCCACCCGGGCCCTGCCATCCTGGACCTCGCCCCCTGTGAACCTGAGCTGCCCCGAGGCTGCGGCCACGAGACGTGGTGGAGGCAGCACCAGGTGACTCAAGGCTGAGAGTGAGGTGTCCTCAGCCACCAGGAGAGCCCCAACCGCTGTGGGCTGAGCACTGCCCCTGGGACACCCCAGACTGGTGGGAGTCCAGGGCGGCCGAAGTCTACTCGCAGAGAGGGACATGCAGCTGCCCAGCCCCAAGGTGTGGGATGGTCTGTGACCCAGCAACAGGCAGCATGGCTGCACTTATCGGTCACAGCAGACCCCCTTCTATGGAAGGAGGCACAGTGGGCCAGGAGCAGCCTCGCCGCCCTCCGACCTGCAATACCACCCTCTCAAGTGCAGGCCGGCGGGCACACATCCCAACCCGACGCACAGGCCACGGCTGCTCCACACGGGCCTGCAGCTGAGGGCCCCACTGCACCCACCCCTGGGACCTGCTGCTGCGTCACCAGGAACCCCTTCCTGCTCAGCCAACAGAAGCCCTTCTGTGTGCCAGGCACCCACCCCTGGGACCTGCTGCTGCTTCACCAGGAACCCCTTCCTGCTTAGCCAAGAGGCCCTCTGTGTGCCAGGTGCTGTGCCCACAGCAGGGCCTTCAGTGACTTGCACTGCCCAGCACCTCACGGCCACCCAGGGGCGACAGCAGAAGGGGCAGGGCCTCATCAAACAGCAGCCTCATCCCCTGGCAACCTGCGGTGCGGCCCACAGCTGTCAGGCCCCCAAAGGGGCAAAGGGGCGTGTTTGGCTGTGGTTCCCTGGGAGGGAGGGAGGGAGGCAGCTGGGAGTGGACGGCGTCAGGGACAGGCCATGTGCTGCAGTGACCGGAAAGAAGTCAGAGGAGCGGCGGATGCCGTGGCTAAGGGGCTTCTCAGGAGAAGGGGTCTGATAAAGGTTTGGGGTCCCGAGGCACTGCCTAGGGATGGCTCTGGGAGCCGAGAGAATTCCAGGTCTCCATGAGGGAAGTGCAGTGTGCCATCTCCTTCCTGTTAAGTACCAGTGACATTGAGTAAAATCCCGTCAGTTAAAACAAGAAAAGCATCTGTGAATTTCCGGAGGCCGCAGGGCCGCTCCCCGCTCCCCGCCCCCACCCCGCTCCCGTACACACCCGATGGGCTTCCCAGCCTGGTGGAACTCCTTCAGAACACGCTCCACGTCCTTATTGACCTTGCAATCTTTCCCGTCCACGGCGAATGTGCTCCTGCCAGGAGAGAAAAGGCCTCCTCAGACAGCCTCACAACCAAGGTCTAGCTTCCTGGGGGGCTTCTTAGACACAGCTCCGGACCCTCAGTCAATGGCAGTGAAGGATAGGCACGTGGCTATAGATATGCATTTCATGTTAACATCTTTTCCTGTTTTTTAAGCAGAAAGCAGCCCGGAAAGCAGGCGGATCAGGAGGTGGGCAGGAGCAGGAGGGCACCAGGCCGAGAGGGCCCATGAGCCGGTGCCTTCCAGAGCAGCTGGCAGAGCCCAGGCTGCAGTGCTGAGATGCGGCCGCCGGTTCCAGGCAGGGCCCCGGCTCCTAACTCCCATAGCTCTTGTTTCTGTTCCGACATCGGCTGTCAGACCTCAGGCAGCCTCTGACCTCCCGCCACCTTTCACCTGCCCCAAGGCAGGACCGTACTGCTCCCCGCCTTTCTGACTGTGGTCTTCAGACCCTGTCCTGAGAGAGGCCCCACTCCCTGGGGGAGAATGCTACCGCCACATTTCCCTGAGCTCAGTGAGCCACTCCAGCAAGCAGGGGCCGTGGGAACCCCCACTGGCAGCCAATCGGTCAGCTCCAGAGGCTCAGCCTACAGACTGGTATGTGTTGCAGGGCAGTCTTGGGGACAGAGTCGTGGGATCAGACGCTACCCCAGGTGGATACTGTTGGAACTGAACCCCTCCCACCTGCTCATAGGAGCCTTTTGTGTGTACTACTGTTGGGGAGGGAGGAGGAGAAACACGCGCGTGAGTTTTTCCTTAAAACAAAGGGGTGGCAAAAACTCCAGGAGAGTTTCCAAGAAAAGCAACGCTGTCAGCCTCCAGACAAGACAAGCACACTCGATAAGAAACACTAGTCCACCTGCGACACCAGTGTCCACACCTCAGGCTGAGGAGCAGGAGCTGTGGGGGGTCTCCCCACACTGCCCATGGGGCATGTGATTTAGCAATGACACCAAATCTACAAGGCGACACACGTTCCCACCAACCCGCCCCCGGGCTACACGACACCCCGCATGCATGCCAGTCCTCTGCCCTGGCATTTTCCGCACAGCTTTGCTGGCAGAGCACTGGGAATCTTCCGGAGGCAGTGGGGTGCCACCGTCCCCATGCTGGCTGCCTCGGAAGGTGCAGAGCTCATCAGAGCGTGCCGCACTATGAACACGCAGGCCAGGCACACCTCCAGGGCGCTCATAAAACAAGCACGACCACCGGAAACCCTCTGCCCGGCCACCAGCAGGGACTCGCTCAGGGAGTCACTCCAGGCTGCTGTGAAATTGTGGCGAACATCTGGAAACCACGCTGATAAGTAAAGGTGGCAAGGCCTGGAAGGACGCTTGAAGATGCTGCCGCTGGGTCAGTGTTTCACGTTCCCACACACACCAAGTCTCTCTGGAAACACACAACCTGGTAGCAGCACTATGGAGAGGTTTGGGGCTGGAAGGGGAGGAGGTGGCCCCCCATGGGCTTCATGCCCACCAGGCATCATCCCCTGCCATGTATGCTACCATGGCAGCCGCCTCGGAAGCACGGCTGGGCCGGTGGCCACGCAGGCTCGCCAGGAGCCCAGATCCGCCTTCTGGACAGGTCAGTAAGAATGGGAGCTTTGCCCAAGGGACGTGGACCCAAACGCTCAGGCACACAGGGCCCATCAATCCCTTGAATGCCAAGGCCAAGGCCCACTGACCCCAGAACCTCCACATGCCTCAGGCCTGTGCCTCTGGGTTGGCAAAACATGGAGGGCCATGCCAGGGCACAGCCCTCCGCAGCCTCCAGCTGCCCCAGCACTCCCCACTTCAGTGTCAGCAGTCAGAGGCGAGGCTGGGCCGTCTGTGAACTCGGCTCGTCCTCTCAGGAAACGCTGGTGTGTTGGGAGCGCAACCTGATGACAGAGGCTGCTCCCTGCCCGTCTCCCGCCGGCAGCCTCATGGAGATGGTGGTGATGTGGGGACAGTGGACAAAAGATCGAGCCTGATGTGGGGCTGCATGAGGTCAGGGGCATGGGCGCACCAATGAGGCTCGCTGGCTTTCAAGAGAGGGGAGGATGGGAGGCCAGGGTGGGGTTTCCAGTGGGAGCTGGGTGAGTGCACGGCCAAGGGCGCTGAGAAAAGGGCTGGAGTCTGAGGAGGGAGGCCTCCTGACACCCGCAGGCGCAGGCGAGGCGCAGCCTTGCGGCTTCGAGATAAGGAAGGGCAGGTTCTTCGGCTGGAGACTGCCTGCCCCTCGACTCTGGGTGTGGGCTGCCCAGGGCGGGGCGAGCAGCCAACCAGGCTCCAGCCCGCCCTCGAAACAGGAGCTGCTGACCGGGGCCGGCCCTGCTGGGACTGCCACCCATGCAGCGGCACAGAAGCCGCCTGCACACTCAAGACATGGTGACAGAGCTGTGGCCAGTGCTCCTGTAGGAGGCAGAGCTGTCCCGGGCACCACCTCCAGCTCGCAGGCAGGGCCATGGGGGTGGTGCCAAGAGAGAATGTGCAGAGGGAGAGACACACACAGAGAAGGGAAAGAGGACCCAGAGCTCAAGGATGCCACCACATGGGCGCTGGCCCGATGGCCACAGTTGATGCTCCTGCTACTGTGGAAACAAGCCGAATAGCAGAGCCTGGAGCCTCCCTTCTTCCTGACAGGACGGCTGCCCTGACTACCAAGAAGAAAACCAATTTCTGACACTGTAAGGTTCTATAAGAGAATCGGGGCTGGGCGTGCTGGCTCGGGCCTGTAATCCCAGCACTTTGGGAGGCCGAAGCAGGAGGGTCACTTGAGCCCAGGAGTTCCAGACCACTTTTGGCTACATACATGGCTACAAAAGATAAAAAATCAAATGAAAACATGGGCATGGCGGCATGCATCTATACTCCCAGCTACTAAGGAGGGTGAGGCTGGAGTTTGGCCTGAGCCCAGGAGATTGTGGCTGCAGGGAGCCAGGATCGTGCCACTGCACCCCTGCCTGGGCAACAGAAAGAGAGAGAGAGAGAAAACTGGTGTCTGCAAGGAATAAATACTCAGGCTGATTTCAATGTGACAAGGCCCACCAGCATGGTGATTAGATAAGAGGGAGCCCCAAACCCACGCTTACAGCTGTTGGGTACCAGGAATGCTCAGCGATGAGAGAGCAGAGAAGCAGAAAAAGTGAATCTTGCTAAAACGCTACCTAAGGCCCAACCCTAAGAACAGCTCCCAGAATCAGAGAGCAGGGTCATGTACCGCTCAGACCCTAAACCCAGAGGCTGCTCCTGTCAGCACCCCTGCCATCCACCACTGCGCTGCCCACATCAGACAGCTAGCAGGTGCGCTGTGTAGACCTAATCACATCAGACAGCTGGCAGGTGCGCTGTGTAGACCTCACCCAGAGGCTGCTCCTGTCAGCACCCCCTTCCTGTCTACCGCTCCATGGCCCACACTGGACAGCAGGCGTGTGCACCCCCCTCCCATCTGCTCCACGCAGAAAGCGGAAGACGTCAAAGCTCAAATACGCACAGGTTTTTGGCCGCTCCAAAGCCTCCTGGAAAGATGGCGGCATCATGGTTGGCTGCACTGAGCTTGGCCAGGTCTGTGATCTTGCCACGGGCAATCCTTGCAGACTCGGTCAAAACATTCCTGGGAAAGAGCACAGGACAAAAAGCCTGAACAGGCAGGTGGAGGACTGTCGACCGGGGTGGGGCACAGACCACAGACGACACACTCCACATGCGTGGCTGTCAGCCACACGGGGACTCACTTACAGGTCAGCATGTCTGCTTACTACCTGAAAAGGCAACATGGGTCTCGCAACGCTAAATCTGTGCTGGGCTCCTCAGACCAGCACCTCATAACCTGCGCCAAATCGCTCTGAATCTTCCGCGCCATCCGTCAAGGCCCACCAGAAGTGGAAGTCTCTCCGAGTGTCTAAAGCAGACGGAAGTCTGTGCATCCATCAGGATGGTGAGACTCAGCAGGGAAGGGAAGCCACAACTCAGGACCAGCGAAGCCACTCGAGGGCCAGCCACTGCCAGAAGCTGCTAGCCCCAGGTGTGGGGACCAAAGGCACAAGTGCAGAAGCCAGGGTCCCAGGCAGGAAAGGAAACCACAGGGGCCCCACTGGGGAGGAGCACAGCCCGACCTCCAATCTCCAGCCCGACCTCTCACGGTCCGAAGCCAGGAAGGCACCTAGGAATGGCCTGCCCAGGGCTGTTGGGCAGGACAGGCAAGGGAAACAGACCTCAGGCCACACAGACCAGAACCACACACCGTAGTGACAGGCATGCTGCTGGGAACCAGCAAAAACGATCTGGAGCCCAGACAGGGGAAAAAGGTGGGCAGCCAAACTGAGAAAACCATCTCTGCTCCAGACCAAGGCAGGAGAGCGTTACTCAGCAGAAGTGCTACGGTCGGCATCGCCACTTGCCCTCTCAGTACTGGAGATATGACTGAGCCGCGGCAGCACTCCGTCCAGAACAGCCAGAGCACAGCTGCTCAAAAGGACATTCATTTGCATCAAGACTCGGCTTCAACGAAGCCAGCAGCAAAGGCTGCCGAGTGGGAGGTGGACCGGGAGCAAGTTTCAATCCCACCTCCACACCTGCTCTCGCCTTCCGAGGGCTGCCCCTTGGTGTGGTCAATCACGTGCATCTGAGGGACGTCAGGAGCAAAGATCTGGACCTCGGCGCCTCCACGGCTCAGGTGCACCAGGATCCTGCCCGGGAGAAAACCAGAGACAACTCTTCACAAGGTACCCCACCCAGACCTGTGTTAACACATTTCTAAAAGCAGCATTTCAGCTAAGTGCCAGAAGTCAACTCCTAATGTACATTAATATCTTACTTGCTTTGCCAAAAGTTACAGTTGGCTCCATACCAAGCCAAACGTCCCCCTCGTCCCCCATTCCAATTCACTGTGGGTTGGTGGTGAGGACTACAGACCCTTGGAAGGAGGCTACAGAGACCAGCTGGTCCCAACTGGAGCATGGGGGCCAGGAGATGCCACTGAGGGCACAGCCTGGAAGCGTGCGTGTCCCCAGCTGCTGGGCACTCCCAGGGCCTGGCTGCCCTCTTCCAGTTGCTCGCTGTGGGCACCAAGAGCAGCAGCAGTGTGCACAGAGTGCCACATGTTGAGAGGGTGTGAGGGGCTTTCGGTCACTACTTAGTTCAATTTCCAGTCTCCCCCAACTTTCACATCACAGATGGAGGGGGACACAGAGACCCAGCTACACTACAGGCCAAGCAGCTCCACCTCTCCAAGGGCAACAGAGGCGCCTCCTGGGGACGACAGCTGACATTACGAGGGCTCATGCTGGCATCTGCAATCCCTGGTGCCAACAGGAGACAGCCCGCTAAGCCCACCCACACACTAAGCCCGCCCTCACTGCCCCGTATGTGGAGGAGGAAACCGAGGCACGAAGTGCCATGACTTGCCAGAGGGAGAGGTCAGGACCTGGCCCTGGCACCCGGGTTCCGCTACCCATAAGTAATCCACCCAGACACCCCAGACGCCAACCTTGCTGGGAGGTCTCAAGCTATTTTCTGTCCCACCAGTTCTTTCACCTCAAGGCCCAATCATGAAACACATCCTGGCCCTTTGCCCCCCAGCTCACTGTGCCTAGTGCCAACTCTAACCCCGTGGGGCGGGCGGCCCACAAAGCCACCAGCCTCAGGCCCTCTCCGTAGCCTGACACCCCTTCACCAACACCCAGCTCTCCCCTCTCCAGGTCACCCTGAACCACAATGAAACTACGGACACCTGGCAGGTGGTGGCCTCCTGTCCGATCAGTTTGGCTTGCAGTCATTTCCAGTAAAATAGGAAATCAGACCACCACCCACTCAGCAATAGCTGACCAGTTACACATACGATAATCTAAGATCCAGAATACCATGCCGCTGTTAAAACCATGATGCTGAGAACCGAGTGAGTGGGAATCAGTTCCCAGGCATCAGAAACATTTGCAAAACACCGGTAAGCATGAGCTCAATGTTTGCAAAATGTGCGTGTCCTGAAAAACACTCCAGTGAAATGCTGAGTGACGACCTCTAGGTGACGGAATATGCGGTACTTAAAAACTGTTCTTCCTCAGTGTCTTCCTGGGTTTTGCCATTCGTTTTTGCTTTTTCACCCAGGAATAGGTTATTTAAAATATGGTGGCTCATGCCTGTAATCCCAGCACTTTGGGAGGCCAAAACGGGTGGATCACTTGAGGTCAGCCTGGCCAACAGTGAAACCCCGGCTCTAATAAAAATACAGAAATTAGTTGGGTGGTTGGGTGTGGTGGTGCACAGTTGTGGTCCCAACTCCTTGGGAGGCTGAGGCAGAAGAATCGCTTGAACCCAGGAGGCTCGCTTGAAGCCAGGAAACAGAGGCTGCAGTGAGCCAACTGCCACCATTGTACTTATTCTTTGAGACAGACTGGGCACTGTCTCAAAGAATAAATGTAAAAGATAAAATACAATACATACTTTCTCTAAACTGTTCCGAAAGAGTAAACTGCACAGGTAGAGATGCCTTCCCGAGGCCTCCGCGGTGGAGGACCAACTGCCCCTGAGGACTTACGCAGAGGCCTCGTGGATCTCGGTCCCATCGAAGACTCCGCATCCAGACAGCACCTGCGAGAGGAGCGGGAGCTGACCCGGGGGAAACGGGCCGACCTGGGCGGCGGGAGCTGACCTAGGAAGTGGGGCCGATCTCTGGAGGCGGGAAGTGACCCCACACGCTCGTCCACTCACCAGCGCGACCCTGGCCCCGGGGCGCGGCGCGGAGCGGTGAAGGGCTGCGCACAGGGAAGGCGTCCGACTGCCGGGGGACAGCGATGCGAATGCAGCTACCGCAGCGAGCCTCGAGGCCACCACGGCCCTCAGAGCCGCCATTGCGGTGAGGCCAGCGGAGTCAGAAGGTCGCACGGTAACACAGAGGGTGCAGCTGACCGCCGACAAACGCGCAGCTGGCCGGGACAGCGCCTGCGCAGACCCCTCGGGGCGGAGCTCCAGAATCCGCCCCCGTCGCAGCCCTATCCCGTGTGCCGGAGAGCGGGGCCGCGCCTGCGCAGACCCCCCTCCGGGGGGCGGAGCTCCAGAATCCGCCTCCGTCGCAGCCCTATCCCGTGTGCGCCGGTGGGCGGGGCGCGCCTGCGCAGAGCCTCTGGGTAGAGCTCCGGGAACCCCGCCCTCCTTCGGGCGGTGGCTGAGGGCTCGGGCCCAAGGCCGAGCGATGCTGGCGACTCTCGTGGTCCCCAGCGCCGCCCTCCTCGGACGCCTCCACAGGCGCCGCGCTCTTCCCGCCGTCCGCGGTGCAGCCTTGCCTCGGGGCGGCTCAGCCCGTTGCCGCGCCGCTTACCTCCGTCTTATCCTTAGCCCACCAGCACAAGCACCCAGGGTCCACATCCTCCTAAATGGCCATTCGTCTTAATCTGGGTGTCAGGACCCACGCGGGGTCAGGACTACCCACGCTTCCGTGACTGTCTCTCGCGGAGCGACCCTTCCGGGTTTTGCTGACCCCGGGATGTTGTACCCTGGAAACCGCAGCTCCACACAAGGGCTTGATCCGGGTTAGCCTGGCGCGACCCTGGCTCACCACAACCTCCCGAGTAGCTGGGATTACAGGCATGCGCCACCACGCCCGGCTAATGTTGTCTTCTTAGTAGAGGCGGGGTTTCTTCATGTTGGTCAGGCTGGTCTCGAACCCCCAATCTCAGGTGATCCGCCCACCTATGCCTCTCAAAGTGCTGGGATTACAGGCGTGAGCCACTGCGCCCCGCCATTGTTTGGGTTTGTTTTTGACATTCACAGCATGGATGGTCAACGTGAAGATCCCAGCTGTTCAGGTCCTAGCTGGAATTCTTCCGTTAAAAAAATCTATTTGTTATGCATGGGTTTTTGAAATAATGTGGTCATTGCTAGAAGATGTGCACAGGGACACGCTGGACACTGCAGTCAGAGCTGATGACCCAGCCCATGGCTGTCACTGTCCCCACTGACGCGTGGTCCATCCCTAGGACTTTTACTGTCAGTCCCTGTGGGATAGAGTGGGGAACTAGAATAACAGACAAGGGACACTACCAGTTAATCAACCAAAGATGAGCTTGGCACATTTGACCATCCTCGCTCCTGCTCCTCCGTGCCTGCCCTTCAGGCTTTCGGCTCCTGGGGAGCGGCCAGCTAGGGAGCATCAGCTGGTGGGAGCGATGGGGTCGTGGGATAGTGCGAAAAACACCAAGCACCACTTAGAAAGGAAATGCTGAATTCAGACTCCCATTCGGTCGGTGTGGGGACCAGGACCCTGTCTCTACCTCCCACCACATGCTCAGGAGCTGCGCCTGGCATGGAGCTCCCAGATCCCACTGCAGTCACAGCTCCAGTGGTCCAGGGGCAACTACTCAGGTGTCCACTGCCATGCACATGTGACACAGAAAAGGGTGAGGCGAGGCGGGGGAACGCTGCAAATCCTGTTTCATAGAAGAGGATGGGGAAATCCTGTTTTGGGCAGACAATAGCTGAGGATTCTTTCTCCAGTCTAGGTCACACAGAGACGTGCAGCCACAGAACACTCGGTGATGCCAGGGCCTGAGCTCTTCCTTTCAACAAAGGCTTTGGTCTGCAGGCCTTCAATCACAGCACAGGGCCACAGCGCGCCACCTGTCACATTCATCACCACTCTCTAGTCCACGTGGCCTCACACCACCCAGGGAGACCACCAGGCAGGTATCAGCTCCATTTCCCAGGTACCACCCAAGGTCTCGTGGGCACACACCGCTGGTGAGGGACAGGCTGGGCCTGGCAGACAGCACTGGCAGTCGGTGAAGCACCCACCACACTGGGTCAGCCTCGGGTCCTGACCCTGGAGGCTGCTGTTTCTAAGCTGTGGAGACCAGGATGCAGACCAAAGCCACTCTCATGACGACCATTCCCAAAGGCACCGCAGAGGGTAGGAGCTGTCCCCTCCTCCATGTGGCCAATGCAGAGCTGGTGCAGGTCTGAGTGAGCTCACCAAGATAGGCCAATCCCAGTCCCAGGCTCCAAAGCGTCCCCAAGAAGTCGGGGAGAGGCTCTGTGCCTGTGACCCCTGGGATATGCACAGGTCACGGTGCAGGGCCCTCACCAGATGGCGGGTCCTCACCAGATGACGGGGCCCTCACCAGATGACGGGGCCCTCACCAGATGGCAGGGCCACCCTGCTCTGCTGGCATGTTTTCCAGCACAGATGCCCCAGTGTGCAGACAGGTCCTGAGCCCCAACAAAACACCGGGATTCAACATAAGCCTTTTTAATTTGAAGTGTAGACTTAATCTTCACATGTTAGAAAACCCCATCTTTTTTATCTCTAAGTCCTTTATCAAACCTTTATATTAGAGATATAAATAAGTCTCATACAAAGTTCACGTGAAGCTATTGACCTTTCTGAGAGGCATTTTCAGAATTCCTCACTGTTCACACAACCCCGCTCCTGGTGCCGGTGCCAGTGCATGCCGGCCCCTAGTATGGCCCGTCAGCTCGCTGTCCTGATGAGCTTCATGTTTCCGTTGCAGAAAAGCAAGTCCCTATCACCAGTGACAGTATTTCAGCTGCTCTCTGGACCCCTCCTCTTTGCTGGCCCAGGTGGCATGATGGTCCCATGTCCCTGGCAGGTCTTAGCCAGCACAATCTGTGCTGCAGCTGGCCGGCTCTAGGCCAGCAACTCTTCTTCCGAGTCTCTGCCTGCTCCTCTGAGCAGATGCAGGCTGTCCTCTTCAGATGCTTCTGCCTCCTCCTCCTCACTTCCCAGTGGCTCCAGGGGGCGTTTTGTGCCACGCTGCTGGGAAACTGCTAGTGCGTACTGCATGTTATAGCGGTTCCAGCCACAGCTGTCAATCACACATAGGGAAGGGTCAGTGCCGGCAACGACCGGGCCTCGGTCTGTCCTGAACCCAACCCCTTCTCTGCGACTCCTGAGAAAAGCGGCGGGGGCTGGACATGCTGGTCCCTCCCCAGCAGCTATTTGTTTCCCCTTTTCCCTGCCCCAGCAATCTGGTTCTGCCCCTTCCGGCCCGGGGCAGCAAGGACCTTCAAGGACCCAACTGGAACATCCCATCCCTTCTGGCCCTTCCACTGGGCCCAGTCTACATGGCTTCACCAGCAAGTTCCACCAAACACTTAGGAGGAGACCGCTCTTGCAGAGCAATGCGGTGTTTTGGAACGGGAGGGGAGGAAGGCACTCTGAATCAGTGAATTTCCTGAGTTAACGAAATAAAGCAGAAAAGTGATGCCATCACTTTACATAGCAATGTGCCCTGTAAAGGAAAACTGAAAGGTAAGTGGACGAGAAAGGAAGGAAAGCACCGCCCGCCGCATCTCAGGTCATGTGCGGGACTCCCCACAGCCAGTGGCGGCCCTAGAGATGGGCAGTGAACGCCTAGACAGGAAGTCCAAGGAACAACGCGCTTAAACAACTCTGCAAACCTCCCAGAAGAGGGAACAGATCTAAAGGAGCTTGGCCAGGGGAGGTGGCTCACGCCTGTCATCCCAGCACTTGGAGAGGCGGAGGCGGGCAGATCACTCAGGAGTTCAAGACCAGCCTGACCAACATGGTGAAACCCCATTTCTGCTAAAAATACAAAAATTATCTGGGGGTGGTGGTGCGTGTCTGTAATCATAGCTACTTGGGAGGTTGAGGCAGGAGAATCACTTGAACCTGGGAGGCAGAGGTTGCAGTGAGCCAAGAAAGCACCACTGCACTCCAGCCTGGGCAACAGAGCAAGACTCTGCCAAAAAAATAAAAGATAAAATAATGAATTTAAAAATAAATAAATAAAGGAGCCAGACAGCCCTCCTCCTCTACAGAGCTCTGTGCAAAGCCCAGGACACCTCAGCTGAGGGAACGTCTGACACTCAAGTCCCGGATCGGGGCACACCCCGGCTTTCTGCAGGGGAGCCGGAACACGATGGGAGGAAAGCCTCCACCTACACTCTGGGACTCAGTCCAAAGACTGAGAGACACTTCAAAGGACTGGCGGGAGAACCACATGAACCCGCAAAGCCCAAACTCAGGCCTCAGCCCCTGAACTCTGGACAGAGCAACTCGCACACAGGGCAGAGAACAGGCCTTTCAGAAACGCAGCCGGGAAACCTGGTAACATGGGCAACAGAGGGAGACATCCCTCACATGGCTACTCTGAGGCCTGCCCAGTCCAGGCTCTGCTGGACCTTCAGGGAGGGAGATTTGCTAGGGCCAGGGACAAAAAGGGCACAAACCACAAAGAAACGACAGAAGCGGCAGGCGCCCCTGCAGAGCAAGGACTTCGGAGGCTGGGCCCTGTCCTAGGCCCTCAGATAAATCCTCTCAGCAGCAGCACCCTTCCCCAGGGGAGCCATGGCTCAGGGCAGCCACACCTCCGGGACTCCAGGCCACCCAGCCCCACAGTCCTGAGACCACGCCCACTGCCCGTGCGGGTGACCTGCAAATCCAGGAAAGGCTGCTGGTTCTATGAATGTGGCAATCCCTGCAAGAGCCGGGAGGATTCCGGCCGCACCCCGGGCGCACCACCTGCAGCCTGCCTGCCTGCCACAGTGCTCACTGCTTTCCACTCAGCGCCAGGCCATCTCCCACGATGGCCAACCCCGGGGTGACCCAGCAGGTGCCGTTCACCTGCCCCGAGAAGCGAGCACCTCCCGCATGGGCTTCTTTGCTCCTCAAATCAGATGACACTAGGTGTAGGGAGAAGACCCTGTAAGTGCTGAGGCAGGAGCCAGAAGGCTCAGCCTATTCCATACAAATAATGAGACGAAGGTGGCCACAAACATAACTGTAGTCGTTATTAGTTATTCTTAGTTATTCATAGGTGATCCTAATTCTTTTACTAATGCCTCTCAGGTCAGAAGTGTGAACCCGGGGCGACACTGTGAAAGGAACAACCGTAAGGCAAGATGCTCTAAGCCCTCTGTCATGCCTGCGTAAGGGCTGCTGGAGAGCACCGCAGCTGGGCAGCAGCGCCAGTGCTGGGAAAGCGCCCACTGTTTAGCCAGCTAGGGAAAGAGACATCCAAAATAACTGAGATGTCTCCTTCCTCTGAGGAGTTAGGAGAAAACTCCACTCCTCCGAGCTCTTGCGGTTAAAGGCCTGGCGCTAGCAGAGACACCCACAGACATCCGGGGCTTAACTGTCTCTCTGTGATGCTGTGCTTCAGTGGTCACGTTCTATGTCCACTCTCATGTTCCGCTTCTGCACCTGGTTTCTTTTTTCTTAAAAGGGATAATCAGTAAAAGTAATGTAAATCTTAATGTCTTTGTTCTTTCTTGACAAGTATGGAAAAAGTGCTGATGCATCATGCTTCTTACCTCATCTCGGCTACTAGAAAGCCTTGGGCCCCCACCTGTATGGCACATGATGTACTTGACCCTATCACCGACCATCAAGGCTAATAGCAGCTACCATTTAGGTCACAAAAGCACTAATACACACTTTACCTGCCCTGCCCCCAGCTTTGCACCATGCCCTACCTACCCTGCCCCCAGCTTTGTACTCTATAAACGTCAGAGCGTCCAGGTACTCGGGCCACTGCTGGATTCCACGCTTTGGTTGGCAATGGACCCCGGGCCCAAACTCTTTTCTCTGTCTCTGTGTCTGTGTGTTTTACTTCTATAGTTTCTCGTCTCCACACCAGTAGAGAGGGGCTCATAGGACCCTGCAGGGCTGGACCCTACAACCAGGAGCGCTCCCAGTGAGAGCCAGCAGGCGACTGTGCGGTCCTGCCCACCCGCCAGGCCGACACCCACACGTACAGTTTCGACAGGTCGTCCAGGTGCCGCTGGATGCTCTTCTGGAGGAACTGAATCACAGGCAGCAGGGTCCCGGCTCTGAAAAGGAGACTCCCTGAGTGTGGGGTGTCGCCCGTGTCACAGTGGGCTCCCCGCATGCTGACTCCCCGAGTGCGGGGCTCAGCCCGTGTCACGGTGGGCTCCCCGCATGCTGACTCCCCGAGTGTGGGGCTCAGCCCGTGTCATGGTGGGCTCCCCGCATGCTGACTCCCCGAGTGTGGGGCTCAGCCCGTGTCATGGTGGGCTCCCCGCATGCTGACTCCCTGAGTGTGGGGCTCAGCCCGTATCATGGTGGGCTCCCCGCATGCTGACTCCCTGAGTGCGGGGTGTCGCCTGGGTCATGGTGGGCTCCCCGCATGCTGACTCCCTGAGTGTGGGGCTCAGCCCGTGTCACGGTGGGCTCTCTGCATGCTACATTTGCATGTAAAGGTTCCCGTTCCCTTTTATCCAGCAAGACAAGCTGGTCAGGTGACCCAGGCACAGATGAATAGTGGGTGAGACGCTCCTACCTGGACTTCAGCTTCTGTCCATGCAACATGAGCAGTTTCTGAGTCCAGAGAAGGTAGAATTCCACGTGGCGAGACACTTCAAAGGAGGAAGCTAAGAACTCAAGCACTTTCTCCACATACAATTCAGGAAGGGAGGAGCTGACCACTTCAACTGCACAAAGGAAGAAACCAGGCTTATTCTGCAAACGCCTCAAACCAGGAGAAAAGAGGATGCCCCGGCGCCCACCACGCGAAGCCGACTCACTCTCGTCCCTGGGCACCGCCTCCAGGGCCTCCTGCATCAGCTTGCTCTCGTTGAGCCGGAGGGCCATGAGGATGGCCCGGGTGAAGTCCTGCCGGCGCAGCGCCTCGCGCACCTGCCTGGGGGTGACGCTGGTGTCCAGCTCGAATGGGTCAAAGAGCACGCGCGTGTCCAGGGAGTAGATGAGGAGCCCCTCCGTGGTGGTGGCCGCCCAGCAGCGCCCTGGGAAACGGAGCAGCGCTTTCCTAAAAACTTAAGTTCATTCCTCCCAACTGTTTTCCTTTTTTAAGAAACAGTATCAAATACATTCCCGTGGAACAAAGTACAAAAGTCAAGAGGAACCATCTGCCTTTAGCGCCCACCCCTCAACGCCCCTGGGAAGGAATCAACTGGAGCATCCTGGAAGGTGTCCCAGGGATTTCCCGCACACACAAGCGCATATGGACATGCGTGCATTCTCCTCTCCCAAGTCTTCTGCCAGGCTCGTGTCTTCAGCTCCACAGGCCCTGCGGTCTCTGCCGCACCTGCTCGGTGCTGCCACGGCGTACTAGAGGCAGCCAGGTTTGGCTCTTGGGCGCCAGGGCACAGACCCCTGGCTCCCATGGGCCTCTCTGCTCTTGACTCTGACACTCATGTCTTTCTGGAGCATGCTCCCCGATAACCCTGCTCCCAGCTCCTGTGTGGGGACTGTGTGCACCGCCAGAGAAGTTTATTTATTTAAAAATAAATAAACTTTTATTTTTAAAAGTTTGCGAGAAGATGGGGACAGTGCAGAGGAGACGGGCTCTCCATGACAGCAGGGCCGCCCCAGCCGGGCGGCGTGTGCATGGCACTCGAGGAGCTGCTAGAGCAAGGGCATGCCAGGCCCGCCACGCTTCAAAGCTCAGTGCATCTAAGGTTGGCACCATCGTGACCACCCATCCTCAGGGACAACAGCCATCTTGTAGCACCACCATGTTCTTACCCAGGGGCAGAGGGCACAGCCTGAAGCCTACAGGCAGCTCCATGGTGGCTGGCCTCACCCTGGCACAGATGCCCCAGTGCCCACCGGGACCAGCAGCCCATGGCCCAGTGCTCACCAGTGGGAGAGAAGCGAACTGAGGTCACCCTGATCTCGGGTTTGAAGTGCCGAGAACTCATGTCACCTGGAGAAAAAGAACCAGTAGTGGTTACTGGGCAGCACATCCAGGCTGCCCTCCCCACAACGCATGCCATCCTGCAGTCTTCTGGCTGCCCGGGGGTGCCATGGGGGCCAATCAGGAGCAGCAACCTCTGCTCACTAGGCCCTGCACAAGGCAGAAGCACAAGTGGCCCTTCTGTTGCTGCAGCTGCAGCAGGCAGGCCTGTGCTGGGGCCGTGGAGGCCGTGCTGGGGGAGGTGCCAAGCAGATGGCCCAGCCCCTGGCGCAGATACCCCCGGAAAAGCCAGCCTGGCCAGCAGACTGCATAGCCAACCCCAAAAAGGGCCTTGGCCCAGCCCAGCGGTGGGTCTGCTGCGCTTACCACGGCACCCTGGGCCTGTACGCAGAGGCGCTCAGGGTTTTTGGCTGCCAAGTGTCCCGTCAGGGTGGTCTACCCAGACGGCCCCAGGACTTCTAGAGCGCTGGGCTCTCTGTGCGGTGCACATGGCCTCACGCGGGACACTCCACGTGCCGTGCAGCGGACGGGACACCCAGTCCCAAGAGCAAATGGACAGGTCCCGCCAGTGCAGGAAGCCGTGTACAGCAACTCATGGGCAGCTCCTCCTGCCACGGGGGCTGATGGCACCGGCACCAACCCACTGGGACTTCGACACCCCCAATGTCCAGCAAACGTCACCACAAAGTGACTGTTACTTCTCACACACAGAAGCCCTAACAAGGGGCGCGAGCACACCGCAGTCACTCAGGAAGGGTGAGTGGTGGGCAGATGTGGGAGGAACCTCTGCTCACCTTTCTTGACGCCTGGCAGTGGTATCGCCACTCCATCCTCCTGCCCAGCGTCTTGATCAATTAGTGCCAGGTTGCCAAACTCTGTCATTTTTCTTCGGTTCAAAAATTCCTAGAACAGTGAAAGCAGTGGCTACCTTGCTTCTGACAGCCCCACGGCCTGGCCCTCTCCCGCTCTTGCTGTTTGACCCCAACACCAGACCAGCCTCAGCCCTGTCTAGAACCCGGACAGGGACAGAGCCCTGCAAAGCTGGCTGCAGAAGAGGGTGGACGGAGGCTGAGTGGGGCAGGGGTGGAGGCTGCAGAGGGGTGGACGGAGGCTGAGTGGGGCAGGGGTGGAGGCTGCAGAGGGGGTGGACGAAGGTCTGCATGCTGGCATTGCTGCCACCACCACAAGGGCTGGGACTCACAGGGAGAATGGCCATCTGCTCCCTCAGGAAAATGGCAAGGACACTTTCCCCCAGAAACACCGAGGGGGCGGTGGGCTGCTGCCCCTATAGGGCATAGGCAGGTGAACCCAGCAGCCACGCCCCTGCTTAGAGGCTTCCAGGACTCACTCACCCTCATCCCGAGGTCTTGCAGGAGCCAGTGTGTGAGTGGGACCTGAGGCGAGGGCTGTGCTGAGGGGGGAGGGCAGGTACCAGCGAGGACAGTGAGGGCAGGGCCCTCCACCAGGGACCCTGGGCAGGAAGCCCTCAGGCAGGCCTCCTGATTCACGCCTTCCGTGTCTCCCAAGTCAGCGTGTCGGATGCCCACCCTGCGGCCCCAGCCTCCTAGCAGCCTGCTCCGGCAGGGTCATCCACACTGGGGTTGGGAACTGGCTGCACAGCGGGAGGTGAGCGGTGGGGGTGACTGGCCAAGCTTCCGCTGTACTTACAGCCGCTTCCCACTGCTCACGTCACCACGTGAGCTCCACCTTCTGACAGAGCAGCAGCGGCACTAGATTCTCACAGGAGCACAAACCCTACTGTGAACCACGCATGCGAGGGCCTGGGGGGCGCCCTCCCTCTGAGAATCTAAGGCCAGTGACGTTGATCTGAGGTAAAACTGCTTCACCCCAAAACCAACCCCCCAGCCCTGTCTGTGGAAAAACTGCCTTCCATGAAACTGGCGCGAGGTGCCAAAAAGGCTAGAGGCCCTGTCTCCACACACGGCTGGGGGAGGCGCCCGGCTCCACGCTGGGCTCTGCCAGGGCAGGTGAGGGCCGCGCACTTAGACACAGGACAGGTACCACGACTATGCCCAGGGCCCCGTGGAGACAGGAGTGCCCAATGCAGGAGCCCGACACACTCAACTGGACGGGAGGCCACACCCGCTGGCCCTGCCCGGCAGGCTCACCTCCATGGCGTCCAGGGACAGGTTACAAGAGATCTCGAACCTCTTCATGAGAATCTGCTCGCGGACGTGGTAGATGCACACAAACTTGGACATGCCTCCCGCCAGGATGCTCTGGCCGTCTGCGGAGTAGCACAGGGTGCTGAAGGCTCTGGGTGGAGAGGAGATGTGGACTTAGGGCGGCCGCCGCGGAAGCCTTGGCATGCGGCTCCTGAAAGCTAACTACGGGCCGGCATGGTGGCTCCCATCTGTTATCTCAGCACTTCGGGAGGCTGAGGTGCGGGGACTGCTGGAGGCCAGGAGTTCAAGACCAGCTTGGGCAATATAACAAGAACCTGTTTCTACAAAAAATTAAAAAAATGAGCTGGGTGTGGTGGCACGCACCTGTAGTCCCAGCTACTCAGGAGGCTGATGTGGGAGGATCACCTGAGCCCAGGAGTTGGGACGCTCCTGTAGCCTGGGTGACAAAGCAAGACCGTGTCTCAAAAATAAAAAAATAAAAACTAACCTTAGGAAATAGAGAAAGCCCTACACCAACCCTCTAGGAAGCAAACACTACCCGCAGCAACTTCCGCCACGGCTCACTGCCTCAACTTATATGAGACTTAAAACCCACCATGTCCAATGGCGCTGTCACCTGGTTCCACGCTAAGCCAGCACCATCCTTAGATGCTCTGGCTTCCGGAGAGGCAATGTCTTTTTCACAAAAGGACCAAATGGTGAAAAAAATGGCATTCTCTGCTGATGTCAGCACAAAACTGCGGCCAGTCGGCCTCCACCCTCAGCAGCCGCCTCTCGGTCACGGCTGCTCAGTCCTGCAGAAGCCAGAAACCAGCCCTCACCACCCCACTCAACAGATGACTCGGGTGGGCAAGGTCCCTCAACTATGACAGCAGAGAACATGGAACAACAGAAAACATGAGCCAACTGGACGTCATCAGAACTAAGAGTTCTGCACGCCAAGAGCACCACTAGAGCGGTGGAAAGACAGTTCACAATGCAGAACAAGTATCTGCACATCAGATGTCACCGAAACCCCTAAAATCAACAAACAGAAAACCGAACAACCCAATTACAAAATGGCAAGAGACCTGAACAGACATTTCTCCAAAGACGACTTACAAACATCCAAGCAGCAGATGAAAAATGCTCAGTGTCGTTACGGAAACCACCATGAGAACTACAAGATACGAACTCACATCCACCAGAATAGCTCCAATTAAAACAAAGACAAAGCAAAGAGTGCTGGCGAGGAGATGGAGAAGCCGGAAGCCAACTGCATTCCTCATGGGAATGGCAACTGTGCAGCTCCTTCAAGCTGGAACAGAACCACCAGGACCCGGCAGTTACACACCCAGGGTGAACCCACGAGGACAGCACAAAGGTGTCCACACCACTTCCTTCTGAAGGAAGACCCTCTACTCAACAGGCTCCTGAGCTCCTGGGACCAATCAGGTCCAGGCCACAAGGCCACACCCACCCGGGCACACCCCACAGATGCTTCCCCTGCTCCTAGGCCTGACCGCCACCCAGGCGTCCCTCATGGCCCAGCCAGGATCCCACACAGGCTATCTGGTCAGCGCCATGCTGGCCCCCGACTGTTGAGACAAGGGGACACTGTCTTCACCATCCACATGGCACTCTCTAGCCAGGTGAGGTGACTGGGGACCTGCGTTTTTACACGTAGGAGGGTGCCAGGGCTGTTTTCTGGTGTTTCTCCTTGAGACGGTCTTGCTCTAGCACCCCGGCTGCAGTGCCATGCAACAATGCCATCCTCACTACAGCCTTGCCCTCCTGAGTTCAAGCAGTCCTCCTGCCTAGCCCAGGCGAGCCAGGCCCGCAGGCATGCACCACAGCTGGCTCAATTTTGTCTTTTTTTTTGTAGAGATGGGGTTTCGCCAGCTAGCGCAGGCTGGTCTCCAACTCCTGGGCTCACACAGCCTACCTGCCTCAGCCTCCCCAAGTGCCAGGTCTCCAGTGTGAACTCGGGCACCAGTGCTTTCCCCTCTGCACCCCAGGACGATGTCATAGCTCAGGATCAAGGTTTGGAAGTGGATGCAGGCTCTCAGCTGAACAAGTTTAGGTGCAGCAAATGCAGGCGACCTCCTGTGCTGGGGGCTGTGCGAGCCCAGGAGTTAAGGAGGACATGGTCTCTCCCAGGGGGCTCAGGACCCCCTGCCTCCACCCACAGGGACTCGGTGGTCTCAGGAAAGGACAAGGCCACAGATGGAGAAGCTGCAGGAGCCTGGCTGGCCACTGGCTGCGGTGTGGAATCAGGAGGCCCGGCGCCAACACTCACTTCCCCTTGGCTGAGTGCTTGGCTGTAATCTTGTCCAGCTCCTTCCTGCCCGTCTTCAGGTCGTGCCTGCCCTCGATGGAGCCCCTCTGCACTGCGTTCTCGGGGTCCCAGAAGGTGATCTGTGAGTTCAGCGTGGCCACAGCCAGCTCCGCACCATCGGGGCGAAAAGTCACAGCCAAGGCTGAACAGAAGAGATGAAGAGTAAGGCCCAGTGAAGACCCAGTCTCCCATGGGCGGCCCACCCACCGCCCTGGCAGGCGCGACCTGGCTGAAGACCCAGTCTCCCACGGGCGGCCCACCCACCGCCCTGGCTGGAGACCAGGCGCGTCCTGGCACCCCCAAGAGACCAGCGCCTGTTGGGTCTGGTACACAAGAATCTCCTCCCAGGAGAAGCTCCAACCCAGGTGGCTGAGGGAACAATTCAGCACCAGTGAAAAGCACCAGGCAGTCCAGCTGGGGCTGCAGGACCCACGAAGGCCCGATGAACGGGGCACCCTGGAAGGTGAGGCTGATAGGTGAGTGATGGCCAAGGCTACTGAGGGTGGCTGGACACATGAGAACACAGAGCCTCTGCAAAGAAGCCACATGTGACAGGAAAAGACTGGCCAGCGCCAGGCGGGAGTGCGTGAGGCAGCGGGAAGCAGGGAGAACCAGCCTCCTGGGGTGGCAGATTCTGCCCACGCCGGAACATGGACGGGCTGGGTCTTTGTGAGCCACGTGGTCTTTTAATGCCGCCACTGTGGTGTGACAGCCGCAGCCCATGTGAACACAGGAGGTCATGGCTGTCTCCAGTACAGCCTGGTCAGAAAGGCAGGCAGCAGCCTGAGACCACGGTCTAGAGATCCCCCACGGCCCCTCATCCTTCTCCTGGTCTACAGATCCCTGGGCTGGCCTCATCCAGCTTCTGAGCCCCCCACGGCCCCTCATCCTTCTCCTGGTCTACAGATCCCGGGTGACCACATCCAGCATCTGGGCCCACCATGGCCCCCTCATCCTTCTCCCAGTGACACAACTCTGGCAGAGCTCCGGTTACACACTGGAGGACAATATTTAAACTCAAAGCAACTCAGAAAATTAGGAAGCAGCTGCGGCAGCAGCCCTCTGCCATCGGGAAACTGTTCTCTCCTGCCTGGCGCACTCGCCAATGGAGCGCGGACCCCACTAGGACTCATGGAAGCCACGCTGGCCCGGCCCACCTATCTGCTGTCTCCTAGGTATTGCCAAACTCCAGGCCTGCCACACTAGCAGGTCTGGGTTAAGAGCGACCCACCCTTTCCACCAGAAGGTTTGCACCAAACCCACAACTAGGAACAGGGTGGTGGGTGTGACAGCGGCTGCTGGTCCTCAGGCCGCCGCTCCAGCCCACTGCCTCGTGCTCACCGTCAGAGGTCAGGGCCAGTGTCTCCTTGGTCCTCCAGCTGTCAAACATGTCCCACAGCCGCACCGTCTTGTCCCAGGAGGCACTGGCCAGGATGGACTTCAGTGGGTTAAAACACAGACCACTGATGGGCCCCTCGTGTCCGGACAAAACCTACCACGGAACAAGGGGGCATGAAGAGTGGAGGTGAGGGCCACGGCGGCTCTCTGGGCAGGGCTGGGCCAGAGGCATGGGCCCTGGGAGTGTAACCTCAGCTCCCTGCATTCCTCTCCCAGGAGACAGGAAGGCCCTGTTCCCTGGGCCGCAGCCCAGCCCCTCGGGCCACTTACATCAAGGAGCCTGCCTGTCTGCATGGACCACACAAAGATCTCAAACGAGTCTTGCGCCCCCGCGGAGACGATCTCCCCACTCGCATCCACCGCCACACAGGAGAACTGGGTAGGGCGTGGGGAGGTGAAGGTGCGGAAGTTTCGGTACCTGCAGAGAAAAGCCAAGGTCAGCATCACACGCCAGTGTCCCTGCACCTTAGCAGGTACGCTGTAGCCTCTCCCTCCACCTTCACCTCTGCGCTGGGGGAGCCTGTCCCGAGCCAACCCTGAGCAGGGACCTCACCTGTGAAGGTCAAAGGCTCGCACGGTCCCGTCCATGGATGAGGTCACCACGACATAGCCGGTGGCAGTAAAGGTCACACCAGTCACCCCGCTGGAGTGCTCCGTGAAAGTGACGAAGCAGAAGCCACTGAGGGTGTTCCACACTTTGACCTGCGGCAGGATGGGAGGGGCAAGGCAGACCCCAAGCCTGTGTGCCACGGCTTCGGCGGAGATCCCTGTTCCCGTACCGCCCCAGCTAAGATGCTTGCCCCTGTACCCGCCCGTCCCTCAGACCCCCGCCTGTGACTGATACGCCATCCCTGAGACCCCTACACGTGATGTTGCATCCCGAGAGCCTCGCCCCTGTGCCCACAGCTGCCTCCAGTACAGCCTCACTAGAAAGGCAGGCAGGAGTCTGAGGCCACAGTCTACAGATCCCGGGGCCAGCACAGAGGCCAACAGGACTGGGACAGGAGCCTACCTTGCCGTCATCCCCGCCGGTCACGATGTACTGTCCGTCAGGCGAGTAGGCCAGGGCCACCATGCTGTTGAAGTGGCCCTGCTGCTTGAGCACGTAGGACTCGCTCTGCCACTCCCACACCAGCAGCTGGCCCAGACCTGTGCACATGGGGGAGCTGCTGTACCAGCCCAGGCCCACCTTCCCACGCCCCACAGGCCCACGAAAGCTGCCAGGAACGGGGCGAAACGCACAGACCCCCAAGCACAGGCCAGGACCACTGCCCAATGCCGCAGTTCCCCCAGCCAGTGATGGACCCCGCCTATGTGACCCTGTGGACGCTCATCACAACTGAGATGGGGCTGTGACCCTCCCACCCCTGAGCAAGGGGGCTTAAGACAGACGGATGTCTGAGGAGGGCCAGGGCAGGGAGGGCACACCTGGCCAGCAGCCGGAGAAGAGAGCACCCCTGAAAAGCAGCTGGAGGGGAGGCACCCCCGAAAGGCGGCTGGAGGAGGGGAGGGCACCCCCTGACAATGGGCTGAAGGAGGGGAGGCACCCCCAGTGGGTGGCTGTCGAGCAGGCCTGTAGCCGGGCAACAGCAGTCCCTGACAGGGAGTCCATCTCTACCATCCGGGCCAGGGACAAACCTGAACAGCCAAAGGCGATCCAGTCCCCAGAGCTGTTGATGGCCACTGAGGCGATGCTTTGATCTGAGATGCTGCAGAGAATGGGCCTGTGAGCGGGAGGCCGGCCTGCCCTGGCTGCGGCCCCAGTGTGTGCTCAGTGTGGCCCCGACACCCCACTCCCTTCACCAGACTCCCAATTCACTTCAGTTCAAGCATCAGAAGGCCTCACGCCTGTCGTCCCACCACATCAGGAGGCAGAGACAGGACTGCCTGAAGCCAGGAGTTCAAGACCAGCCTGGGAACCACAGCAAGACCCCATCTCTACAAAATTCTAAAAGCTGGCCAGGTGTCATGCTGCACACCTGTAATCCCAGCTACTCAGGAGGCTGAAGTGGAAGGATCACACCCCACTGCGAGCAAACGTCTACCTCAGCGAGTGGATGAGGTTGAATTCCGGCAGCTCATGAAGATGGAAGATTCCAGAAGCAAAGCCAGTGACCAAGAGATGAGACTTCTTGTGAAATGCAGCAGCTGTTAGATTGTTAAAATCTCCTTCTTTATTGAAGAAATACCTGAATCGGCAAGGGAGGAGAGCTGTGAGGAGGGACACAGAGACAGGCTGCCATCCCGCCTCGCTCAGGGCTCCAGCACAGGTCACAACGCCAGGCCAGAGGTGCCAGACCTGCCCTCTCCCTCTTATCCCAGGCCCTGAAGCTGCCCTCCTCCATCCTGAGCTCGGGACCCAAGTGAACCTCACACGAGGTCTCCACTGCCACCAGGTGGCCCCACAGCACGGCCGCCGGGCACCCCTGGTCCCACCACCTCCTGCTGCTTCCTTCTCTAAGGAACCCTCAGTCCCCATCAACAGACGAAGGTGACCTGCCAGCTCCCTGAGTCACAGTGCAGCACAGCCCTCATCCTTCCCTCCTCTTTCTGGCCCCCATCCCTCCTGAACAAGCGGGCAGGACCGCTGGCTATCAGGGCAGGAGGCCCTCCCTTCACACCCTTAACAGCCATGGTCCCGCCCAGCACGCACAGTCTTCCTGGAGCCGCCTGGAACCTGCTTTCCCATCGTCCCTTCCTCCTCTTCTAGTCGCCGCTCAAGTCCTGACTCCAGCACAACAGCAAGTCCCCACGGGCACTGACCCACTGGGTCCGTTCTGCCCCCACCCCGGCTCTGCTGCTCTTGGCAGAGCACCCTCCTTGCACCGGAGCCCAGCCGGCCCCTCACTCCTCACACCCAGACTCTTGTGACCACCGCTCCCACCCACCCACCCACCAGACCCCAACACACTCCAAACGCAACCCGCTCCGGCCACCGGCTCCCTCCACAGGCAGGGCCTCACGTGGGCCCCTCCCCTGCCCAGGGCCCCCAACTGCCGCCCACTTCTGCACGCGGCCACCCCATCACCGCACCTCTCCCCAGAGGAGAGGAGGCCTCGCTAGGGCGGGCGGTATGTCTCAGCGCCCAGTTCAGAGCCCTGCACAGCAGGTACCAAGTCACTGCAGCATGGAGGGGTCCAGGCTGGGACACCCAGCTGACAGAGACACCATGGCTGTGGGAAACTGCCTCCATGTGATCCTGACCGGCCTCCCCATAGCCCAGACTTGGCGCAGCATCTCTGCCAGGGCTCCAGGCCAGCAAAGGCCGTCCCACAGGGCCAGGCTCAGTCTTGTCTCGTCAGGAGGACTGAGTTCAAACGCGGGGCTGCACCACCCAGCTCAGCGCCCGAAAAAGCACCAAGAACTACCCACCGGCGGCCCCCAGAGCAGGACTTAGGCCACCCGCTGCGCCCACTCGCACACCAGCGTCTCCCTCCAGCCTTGCCAAATTCCTCCTTCTCAGTCTCCCCACACGAGGCCGAGGGACTATCCCCCACACCAAACTCCACAGAAGCTGGCAGGGCCACAGAGACCCCAATCCCCTCAGGGCCCAAGGTGCTGCCGTCCCATCACACAGTGCCCTCACACCTCCCTGCCCCCCATGCATCCCCGCCCACCGCTCTCCATCTAGCCCTGGGCACACAGGCAGCTCAGACAGCTGAGGCAGGGACCCTGTTTAGGGGCAGAGTCAACACCCAAGCACTCAAGGGTACTCAAACCGGGGCCCCCAGATGCCGACCTGCTCTCTGTACCTCTTGCTCCCCGGCCGGGGACCCCACACCCAGGTTTCTCTGAGCACAAGAGATGCCCACAGGAGTGCCCCCAGCACCCCACCTCGCCCTCGGAGACCTACTTGGCCAGCCGTGAGTACTTCACTTTTCCTGTCTTTTCCTCTTCAGCCGGAGCGGCTTTTCCCCGGATGGTGGTTTCTCTGTCCCCGTCCTGGTCCTCCTCCTCCCCCTCCTCCTCCTGCTGCAGCAGGTCTGCCTTCCAGCCCGCAGGCGGCTTCAATCGCAGGCCCTCAGGGAGCGTGTCGCACTGCCACACGCACAGCACTCCGTCCTGGCTGAGTGAGTACAGCTACGAGGGAAAGCGCAGGGTCACCCCGGCCCCAGCCATGCCGGCCTACCTGCAACAACCTGGCACCTCCCTCCAGCTCAGATCCAGAGACCAGCACTACCGAAGGCCCCTCTGAACTCTGAGAACAATTCTCAATGGGCCGCAACAGCTGCTGTTGGTCCCCAGATGCCCCCGGGCCACATGGGAACAGCCAGGAGGAAGCGCAGGAAGAGGCTACCTGCAGCCTGGGGCCTCCCTGAATGAGCCGCTTTTGGCCACCTTCAGGCTAGGGAACTTAGCACAGGGACGTACGTCCAGGCTGCTGGATTCAAAGAAGCAGGCCACGATGGCATCCTTATGCCCCCCCAGTGCGTAGTAGATGAGGTTGTCCCAGCGCTCCGCTCCGAACACCCAGGTGGACATGTCTTTGCTCCCCACCACAAAGCACCTGGAAAAGAGGGAGATGGCACCTCCTCAGGGCTGGGCAGGACAAGGCAGCCAGGTGCACTCTCCAGAGAGCCACATGGAGACCGCCACGGCCCCACGTGGTCTCAGAGTGAGCTGAGAAGCCTCCAGGCACGGTGGGGGGTGCCCTGACACAGGCCCCGCCTGCCTGTCTTCCTCACGCCTCCCAGACACCGCCGCAGCGTACTGTTTCCAGGACAAACAGGTGAAAGGCCAGCGGAGGCTCAGGGGCAGGACGCCCGGCCACAGCACGTGTTTCAGGGCCACGAAGACCTAACCACAGCCACCCAGCTAGTCCCGATGGTATGCGTGGTGCCCAGCCCCAAAGAAGGCCAAGGCACCACTGCAGAAGGAAGCTGCCCGAGGGAGGGACCCATCCCCGGTGCCACTCTCAGGCCCTGCTCCCTGCTCCCTCTGAGGCCGCACCTGGAGTCATCCGTCCAGTCGATGCAGGTGGTCTCATCATAAGGCCCAAAACAGGTTTTGTCCAGAACGAAGGCATTGAACTCCCGCTTCTTCCCGGGGGCATGATACATCTGGGCAATGTTGCCCTTTGTGACAACAAACTTCCTGCGGAAGGAATGTGGACACGGCTGATCCTCACGACTAGCGGCCCCAAGGCCATGGTGGAGTCTCAGTCTGCACCCACCTGGGCCTTCCGGAGTCCCGCCTCCTGCAGGATGGAGGCCAAGAAACACAGGAATCGGAAGTCAGGGAAGAAAGAGATCCAGAGGGAGGGCAGCTGGGCCCCGCCAAGCCTTCTGCTCCAGAAAAGGGGGGCACTGATGCCAGAGATTGGGCCATGTGCCCAACGTGACAATCCGGGGACCCAGGGAAAAAAGCTGGGCAGTGGGCCTTGCCATTGGCACTCGTGGCAGATCCCCTCCCACCCCACCAGCTGCCCCCCTTACCTGCCATCGGGGGAGAAGGACACGCTGTGCACAGATCCCTTGAAGTGGAAGTGGTGCAGCACAGACCTGCAGACCAGGCTGACCAGCAGTGCATTGCCCCCTGCAGGAGGCCAGACATGAGACCGTGCAGCTGCCCTGGCGCCACCCCAGATGGACAGCACAGAAAAACGCAGGAAGGCCTTTCTCGCGTCCACTGTGAGGCGTCACCTAAGAGTGCCTGAGCCATAAGGCCCTGTCCTGCCACAGGTGATGACACAGACACATCCTGCGGCAGGGACACAGCCTCACCCATGACACCCGCACCCCCAATCCCCACTAAGGCCCCGACCTGGAAGTAACTGGGGGGTGGATCATCTCGGCCCCACACAGCCCTGAGTCCCTCCTCACTGGTCCCCTCTGTCCTTGCCCACACCAAGGACCAGTACCTTCATCCACGATGATAGCAAGGCGCCCATCCGGGGACAGCCCCACGCATTTGACGTTGTACCGAGTGGCCAGGGGCAGTGTGTCAGATTTGTTGCTGATGAAGATAAAAATCACAGTGTGCAGCTGGTCCTCAAGCCACATGAGAGAGACAGGCCAGGCCTAGCCCAGAAGCAGTGGCCCACCCTCCCCACACAGCGCCTCCAATCTCACCGGACCCCCTTGCGCCAGAGTCCACCTGTGGACACCCTCACTCCCGAGAAAGAAATGACGTTGTCCCTGGAGGGACTTTGGTGAAACGCATTAAAAGTCTTAAAAATGGGCTTTGAAAACATCAATTCTACTTCCAGGATGGTAGGATGAGAGGAATCCACCTCAGAATACCAGATGCACGCTCAACATCCAACAGAGACTAATCACCACGACAGTGCGCCCACGTAACACTGTTGTTAGGAAAATGGTCAACAGGCAGGTCCAGGAGTCCCTCGGAGATGCTACAGATAGCGCGAGACTGCAGTGGACTGAGGCACTCACGTTCTGGCTTCCCTGTGCATAGCTGAGTCATGTTTACGCCATATTTTAAACAGCATGGTGTAGTCTATTAGTGTGCCCTGCGGTCCGTTCGTGCGTGCTGAGCTCTGTTCGTGTGTGCTGCGGTCTATTAGTGTGCGCTCCACTCTGCTCGTGTGCATTGTATTCTATTAGTCTGCACTAACATTCGGTCTAAAGCAACAATGTGCATCCCTTAATTTAAAAACGCTTTACTGCGAAAAACTGCTAATGCTCATCTAAGCCTTCAGTGGCTCTTCCTTTCTGCTGGTAGATGGCCTGCCTCGATGTGAATGGCTGTTGACCAGTCATAGCAGTGGCTACTGAAAATGCGGTGGCTGTTGCAAATTCCTAACACAAGACAGCAATGAAGCCTGGCGTATCGATGGACTCTTACTTTCACAAGATGCCTCTGTGGCATGTGATGCTGTTTGATAGCATTTTACCCAAAACAGACCTTCTTTCAAACTTGGAGTCAATACTCACAAATGCTCCCAGCGCTTTATTGACTAAGTTGATGTCATATTCTAAATCCTTTGTTGTTGTCTCAGTGGTCTTCACAGCATCCTCAGGAGTACATTCCATCTTAAGAAACCATTTGCTTTGCTCACCTGTAAGAAGCAGCTCCTCATCCACTCAAGACTGGTCATGACATTGCAGCAATTCAGTCCCATCTTCAGGCTCTGCTCCCATTTCTAATCCTCTTGCTATTTTACCACGTCTGCAGTAACTTCTTCCACCAAAGTCTCAAACCCCTCAAAGTCATCCACAAAGCTTGGACTCAACTTCTTTCCAATTCCTGTTAATGTCGACACTTTGACCTTCTTGAACAAATCACGAAATGGCATCTAGAATGGTGACTCCTTTCCAGAAGGCTTTTTACTGGCTTTTCCCAGATCCATTACAGGAATCACTACCTGTGGCAGCTAGAGCCTTACAAAATATATTTCTTAAATGAGTCGACTTGAAAGTTAAAATTACTCCTGCAGGCTGAAGAAGAGATGTGGCATTAGCAAGTATGAAGATGCATCTCCACCAGAGCTCACGGGTGACCAGGTGCATGTCCATCAGCAGGAATATTTTGAAAGGAATGTTTTTTTCTAAGCAGTGGGTTCAAGAATGGGCTGGAAATACTCCGTAAACCATGCTCTAAACAGATGCTGTCATCCAGGCTTTGCTGTTCCACTTTCAGAGCACAGGCAGAGGAGCTGGAGCATAGTTCTGAAGGGCACTGGGATTTCAGCACAATGAATGAGCACTAGCTTCCAGTTAATGTCCCCAGCTGCATCAGCCCCTCATAAGAGAGTCGGCCTGTTGCCTGAAGCCAGGCACTGACTTCTCTCTAGCTCTGTGAGCCCTAGATGGCATCTTTTTCTTTTTTTTAAACTTTATGTATTTTTAGACAGAGTCTTGCTCTGTTGCCCAGGCTGGAGTGCAGTGGCAAGATCTCAGCTCACTGCAACCTCTGCTTCCCGGGTTCTGGCAGTTCTCCCACCTCAGCCTCCTGAATAGCTGGGATTACAGGAATGTGCTACCACACCTGGCTAATTTCTGTACCTTTGGTAAAGACAAGGTTTTGCCAGATTGGCCAGGCTGGTTTCAAGCTCCTGGCCTCAACTAATCTGCCTACCTCAGCTTCCCAAAGTGCTGGGATTTCACACATGAGCCACTGCACCTTGCCATCTTTTTCCAATAGAAGGCTGTTTGTCTCCATTGAAATTTTGTTGTTTAGGTAGTCAGCTTCATCAACGGTCTCAGCTAGATCTTCTGGAAACCCGCTGCAGCTTCTCCATCAGCACCTGCTGCTTCTCCTTGCACTTTCAGGTTGTGGAGATGGCTTCTTTCCTTCAGCTTCACGAGGCAACCTCTGCCAGCTTCCAACTTTCCTCCTGCAGCTTCCTCACCTCTCTCAGCCCTCACAGAACTGAGGAGCGTAGCGCCTAGCTGTGCGTTAGGCTCTGACCTGCTTAGGGGAGCGTTGTGGCTGGTTTGATCTTCTATCCAGATCACTTGAACTTTTATCCATAGTTGCAATAAGGCTGTTTTGCTTTCTTGTAATTAGTGTGTTCACTGGAGTAGCACCTTTAATTTCCTTTAAAAGCTGCTCTGCATTCACAACTTGCCTGTGTGGTGGCGGAGACCTGGCTTTCAGCCGATTTCAGCTTTTGATACACCTTCCTCACTAAGCTTAATCACTTCTAGCTCTGATTTCAAATGAGAGTGCTGACCCTTCCTTTCACCTGGACATATAGTGGCCACTGTAGGGTATTAACTGGCCTCACTTCAATGTTGTTTCTCTCAGGGGACAGGGAGACCCAAGTTGAAGGACGACTGGCTGGTGGGGCAGTCACATCACACACAGTGCCTCTCCATTAAGCTTGCCGTGTCACATGGGTACAGATCATGGCACCCCAGAACAATTACAATAGTAACAGCAAAGACGATCACAGAGCACCCTCACAGGTATAAGAAACTTTGAAATATTGCAAAGATCACTAAAATGTGACACAGAGACATGAAATGAGCCCCGCTGCTGGGAAACAGCACCAGCCGACTTGCCCATGCAGGGTTTCCACAAACGTTTGCTTCGTAGCACAGCAGCTGCACAGAGCCGTGAGGAAAGTGCAACAGCACGCAGGGAGAAACGGCTAAGCCCCAGCGACCAAAGCTCATCTCCGGCTGCAGAGCCGTGAGGCAAAGTGTAACAGCATGCAGGGAGAAACGGCTAAGCCCCAGCGACCAAAGCTCATCTCCGGCTGCAAAGCTGGAAGCTTTGGGCCTGCCTGTCTGACGGGCGAGGCCCAGTGGCAGCAGGGCTACCGAGCGGGGGTCCAACGTGCCTTCAACTCCCCCAGCAGCCCTGGCCTCTTGGCCCTTAGGGGCCTTCCCTGATGGGGACAGGGCTAATCCCGAGCTACACCTTTCCCCCACCCCAGCCTCCACAGGGCAAAGGCAGGTCCTTTCCCAGGTAACACAGCCAGTGACACAAGGCTTTACAGGCCTAGCCGAGGCACTAGAACTGGGTCTTGGCTGCGAATTTCCACAAGTGATCTGCTGACCCTAAGAGGTCCTGTAGCCCTGTCCCGGGCTGCCTTAATTAGCAGGTGTACCATTAAAGGAAGCCACAGAAGACACTGTCAGCTTTCATATGCTACATAAAAAACCGTGATAATATTACCACTATTATTAAAACCACTTTCATCACATACTTACTTTTTAAGGTCAAATATAGTGACTCTATTGCCCACGGGACTGATAACTGAATTTCCATCGCAGGTAAAATTTAGGTTCCCACGCCGGTAAACCGTACCCAGCAAATTTGAAAACTAAAAAGAAAATAAAGTTGTTTTAACACCAAGAAAACAGTCTCGACTCCCAGAAAAACTCTAAGTGAGGCATCTGGGCAGAGAGAGGCACAGGGAACCCCACTTCGGGGGCCATTCACATTTCCTAGGTGAAAGAGTAAGAAGTGAGGTGAGCCTGATTCTCAGGAGACCAGAGAAGCTGGGGTGGGGGCAAGCTGCCACAGAGATGGGTAAGATGCCCCTGTGAGCCCTGAGGAAGCCCCCCAAGACAAGAGGCGCTTGCTAGGTGAAGAGGGGCACGGAGCCCACGTTTCACCGAGAGAAAAGCTGCACTCATGGAACAGCACCCCAAAGGTGCCTAGAGCTCAGGGCATCATCCAGAAGCACTGCAAGCTGGCACCCTCCTTTCATCTTTACTAATTCTCAAGCACAAGCGTTCCTGAGGCTGCCGTGCGCGCAGACACACACACCTTTAGCTCTATCCTTAGCAGGAGGCGGATGAGAAGTGTGGGAGGAAGGGCTACTTTGGGGGGGCGGTCACCTGAGCTGGAACCTCAATGAGAAGACACCAGCCAGGCCCCGAAGCTGTTGGTGGGCAGCACCCTGAGGACCTCAGGGAGGAGCTTGGTCAGCAGAAGGACTTTAAGCGGCCAGGCAAGCTCCAAGGCACATTTTTTGCCACCCCGCAACAAGAACACGGAGTGGATGAAGTCCTGGCCCGTGAGGACGTGGATATGGTTTCTGGTTTGGTGCTGGGCACACAGCGGTGCCTCCACCAGCACAGGGGGCAGAGCAGCAGCACTCGGAGGGGGGGCCAGCACCATGCTCAGTTTCCGACAGGACAAGTGTATTCACGGTGCGTCCAAGAGGAGGCAGCTTGCGCAACCCTGGAGGCCCCACAGTCAGGGCCACTGCGGGAAGCACGGGCCCCCCATACCCAGCCAGCTGCAGCAAAGGCTGCAGAGACCCCCGGGCCGGCTCCGCGGCTCCCTCTGCCTCACCTGCCTCCTGCACTTCACATCTGGGACAAGTCCCCCCACCCCTGGCTCTCAGAAGTGCCGGCCTCCGCCTCAGGAATTCCCCCCGCCTCGGGAAACCGAGCTCACACCTGGGTTCCCTGCCCCTCCGCCCACCTGGACGCTCCCTCGTTAGGGAGCGGACCCGAGCCCCGGGTCCCCCCTCCTCTCACCCCTCCTGCCCGCGCCCACTCCCGGTCCCACCGCCTCATCCCTCCCGAGGGTGCTGTGCCCTCCCTGACAGCGCCGACTCCAGACTTTGGGCTGGGCCATACTCATGTTAAAAATCCGCCCGCGACCCCGGCAAGTGTCCCTGTTCCCTCCGAGGAGCCGTCGGCGCCTGCGTCCCAGCTCTCCCAGGAGCCCCGCCATAGCCCTGCGTCCCCAGGGCCTTGGGCGCGCAGCCTGCCGGCGAACCCCACGAGGCCAGGCGCCGCGAAAGACGACCCCGCGCTCCCAGCGCCCGCTCAGGCACCGTCCGCCGGAAGAGCCGCGCCGATTCCACAGCCCGCCCGCCGCCCGCGCTCACCCGATAAGCGAACTTCATCCTGGCCGCCTCACGAGTGCAGTCGCTCCAGCCCGCGTCGGCCGGCACAAGCACTTCCGGGTCCGCGCGGCACCGCCCACAGCGCGCACTTCCGGGGCGGGGCCCGCCCCACCGCCCGCCGCGCCCCCGAGGCCGGAGGAGCAGCCTCGCCCTCGCCCCGCCCCCGAGGCGGAGTTTGCGCGCCTGCGGCCCGCTCCTCCCGGGCGGAGTCTTCTCCGGGTACACGTCCGGAGCCACCCGGCAGGGTGCCCCCAACTATCGCGCGCTCCCGCGCAGAGCACTCTCCGAGCCGAGGGCAAGCTTGGCACACCCAGGAAAGCAGCGTTCACAGCCCCCGAGATACCTGCACTGGTAAACGTCTTTGTCCTTGTGAGCTATTGGGTAAGGAATTATGAATAAAGTCCCGAAAGCTGGCCGGCGCGGTGGCTTACGCCAGTAATCCCAGCACTTTGGGAGGCCGAGGCGGGTGGATCACCTGCAGTCAGGAGTTCCACACCTGCCTGGCCAACCTAGTGAAACCCCATCTCTACTAAAAATACCAAAATTAGGTGCATGCCTGTAGTCCCAGCTACTCGGAGGCTAAGGCAGGAGAATGACTTGAACCTGGAAGGCAGAGGCTGCAGTGAGCTGAAATCGCACCACTGCACTCCAGCATAGGTGACGGAGCCAGACTCTGTCTCAAAAAAATAAAGTCCTGAATGCTTCCTTCCCAAAAGGCAAATAATCTAGGCCCGAGAGTCAGAAGCAAGGACTAGGGAGAGAAAACAAGAAAATCTTCATATTACACACTGTTGTCACACCATGTCGCAGCAAAAGATCCAGGGCAAAACAGTTTCTTCTTAAAATGTATATTTTCAGAATTACAGTGCTTACATTTTAAACAGTCTTAATACAATGGTTTTAATCTAACAATATATTACATAATATGAAAAATGACTTTTCATAGTAAACCATGAAAATGTAATTAATACCTGCAGTGTCAAAGTCACCAACTTGTCACCTTTTCCAGTCACAGAATCCCAACACATTGGATTAATGATGGCTGTGGTTCTTACAGCCTGATGTATAGGATGAATAAATGTAGAGAAAGGAGCATTTTCATGAAAAATAAAATTTAAAAACCAGGTAGGATTTATTTTAAAGAACAAAGTTGAAAGGGAAATATTTAGATCAGCCCAGTCTGCCCTTTTATAAATAGTACAGCTTTTCCTTTTACATACAAACCCGGAGTGTTCGATTTCATCTTATTTTAAGCACTAAAGAAAAACTGAATAGAAGCCTGTGTGCATTTTCTCTGCTAATTCCAGATGCGATATCTGGCCTCTCCACTAAAAGTAATATCGAATCTGACCCTCCTATGCTGTGCTGACAGCAGAACTGTTGTAGGTAAAGTCATTTTCAGATTAAATACAATTTACACATTAGAATCAGAAGAGTTATAATCTTTCCAGTCATAGGACATCCCATGAAATTCACAAAAATTATAACTTACTTTATTTTCCATTTGACAGTATTTACATGTTCCACAGGTATTTGTAAAACGGCTTCAAATTCTTTGCTTTTTGAAACACACACATTGTATATCTGGCTTCACAATTATTTAACATCTCTTAAACCTTTATCAACAAAACCAGCCTGTCTCAAACACAGACCTTACTTTACATAAAACACAATAAAAATCCAGTTACAGTTACTCTTTTAGTACTTTTATGATGAGCATTAAGAAAAAAATGACAGTTTTGGGTGACATTTTTCTTTTGGCTTAAAGAGGCAAGAGCACTCGTAACACAGTTTGCAAAAGATCTTTTGGGTAATTAAGGGGAAAAAACTGTGATATATTTTATTTCATTCTGTTTTCAGGCAAGAAGACAGCGCCATAAACATTTTGAATTTCCCCTTCACTTTCTTCTTCTAAATATATAGGTAATTGGATAATTTCAACCTGGGAGTAGAACCAGTTACAAAAAAATCAAAGAGTAATAAATGAAACATTTAAGCACACCCCCTCTTCCGGAAAGTAAGAGAGAAAGCTACATTGAACACTGGGGAAGGCTCCCAGGCTGACCACGTGAATTACCTGGATAGGATAGAATCAAATCTCAGATCTCTTTATTCACAGGACTTGGTAGAAATGCAGGGCAATTGTCAATTTTTATGATAAGAAACCTTATTTTAGAAACCCTAAACTATCGTTAGATTCTGAAGTTCTAATTTGCTAACTAGTTTGACCAAGTTTGTTAGTTTTAAACTGCACATGAGGAAGATAAATTTCTGGAAAGTTTAATTAAATACACAATTATTTATCTTCTTTACACGTCTCCAATTTCTACAAATGAAAAAGACGTGGAAGGAAAAAAAAAATCATACCACATTTATTTACTGAACGAGCTAAGAAGACACAGAGAATACTGGAAATGATGCTGTGTCACGGTTCCCCGGCCTGTGTCTCCTTCCTCCCACGCCCCACCCCTCCCGCGAGCGAGCACAGTGCTGGGCAGGAACCCGGTGCCCCTCTCCACCACTCGCACATCCACGGGGATTCACACGAGGATTCACACGAGGGCCACCTGCTACTGGACCCCACTCCATCTGCTTGCACTAATCCTGTCAAGTTCAATTCCAAGCACATTTGCCCAGTAAATTAAGAGTACTCTATTTCATATGTACAAAAATACATCGCTTTGGAGAGCTGGAAAAGGTTTAATACATACAATACTTATTTACAAGCTGTGACTTTCACACCTGTAAAAACAAACACACTTCTTTTTGTCCTTGATTTTTGGTGCAACTTATAAACATTACATCAGTTAGTCTGTACTTTTAAAAATAATAAATCAACCATATGTACAATTAAATTTACAACCAAAAACAAATAATCCATTGGAACAGTGTGACTGCAACTCAGTAGACCAGCAGAGGACATTCCAGGACTTGAGTCCTTCCCCACAACTGGACTAAAAATACACTGAGGACCTCTCTCATCCTCACGATGGAACATTTTAATTTCTAAGACTTAAGGTGCAGAAGAAAAATAATGATTATACAGCTACAATTACATGTAAAGACTTTAAAGGGGACAGAAAAACAATATGTTAACCCCCACATATATAATGATAATTAAATTAAATACATATTTAATTCCCAGTGCATATGATATTCCATCAACATCATGGGGGACCACAGGGTTCCAAAAACATTTATCCCTAATAAGCCTCACCAGTGAGGCCCTCCTCACAGCTGGGTCTCAGCTCTCCTCAGTACCTTCATGTGGCTCCAGCTGTTGGGCCTCCCGGTCCCCCAGCTCCGGCACCCCAAGGCACAGAAGGGGTTATGATCCATCCCTCCCCCCGCCCACCTCCCCTAGAATGGGGTTACTGTAGAAAAGCACGACAGGATCTGTGGTAAACAGTTGTTTTACCCCTTAGGAGACACAAATCCACCCCGCTCAGGAAACTGGGCAGCTGTGTGACCAGAAAGGCACACACGTGTCACTAGACTGCGAGGCCTGCTGAGTGTCTGCCTGAAAGACAAATGGCCTTCCCTGAAGAGCCAGCAGGTAGAGGCTGCTCTGTGGAGACGGTGTGGGTGGAAGCTTTCACGAGCAGTGTGAGGTAGGGGGAGGGAGGCCGGGACTCTGAGCTAGCGGCGCGGGACACCAGCCAGAGGACCGGGTGAGAAAAGCAGGAAATCTGAGATCACGGGCAGCATGAAAACAACAACAGAACTCAGCTGGCCAGCTGCACGCTGACGCTCTCTGATATCCCCACAGCCAGGCAGTACCACGGAAGGTCTTATTGGAGCCAGAATGGAGAAGAGTCCAGTCACAGTCTCATAAAGTGCACTCCCAGCTGGGCCGTGGCGTGTGTTCACCCTACCGCTGTCATGTTACACTGACTTCCAGGACGTGGTCGTCTTGGCTGGGGATGACCAGGACTTGTGTGCCTGAGCTGGAGTTGAAGACCTGGCCGGCTGGCAGCGCCTGCAGCCGAGGCATGGGCAGGCCTTTGTGCTCACCGCTGCAGACCGACTGCATGCTGCCCCTGCTCTTGAGGCTGCTGCTGTCCGGCGGCTCGTCCCCATGCTTGTCTACTGACAGGCTGTCATTTTCTATCCAGCTGTCTGCAAAACACACAGGGAGTCAGACCCAAGCGCGCCGACACTCACCCGGGTACTGGCGAAGCCACACGGAGCCAGGCTGAACGTGCAGGCTGCCACCCGAGGCTGCCCCTTTCCAGAGCACTCTGCACACAGAGGCTCAGCCTTCAGAGCAGGTGCCTGAGACTTCTAACGGCAAACGAGGCTTCTGGTACTAGTTTCTACTGGCACTGAAAACATGCCACTAGTTCTCAAACCTGCTTTGTCACAAGTTTATCACCTCTCGCATAGTGATCACCTGCTCAAACACTGAATGTATACTTTTTCTTAAAAAGCCCTTACCAGCGTCCAGTTGGGAGGAGTGCGCAGAATGATGGGGAAGGTACTTGAACAGCTTGACGTCAGGCAGGGGGAGATACCCCGCGAAGAGAGGCATCACTTCCATGTGGACCCTGTGAGTGGCCTGAGCAGCCACTGGCATGGAGATGACACCGCAGCTTTTCCCACACACTGCCCAGTTGCTACTGTTGTCAACAACTGAAACGAGAGGAAGCGTTGTGTCACCTGGGACAGGCCTTCAGTACTTAGGCGAGAGTCATGGCCATGGTGACCCAATCCTCTCACCTGACGCTGTCCGATAAAACACTGGGACACCGAGCTCATGCCTTGCAGCTGTGCCTGAAGATAAAGCCATGCACTTTAAGGACGACAACACCTATTTCATTAAATCCAACATTCAGTTAGTTCTAGGTTAGAATCAAAGATGCTAGACGTGTATAGAAAACTGCTTTTTCCTGTGAGGTTAATAAATGAATAAACAAATAATGATTTAATTTTGATTTGACATCTCCCTGACATTTGTAATGTTTCATCCTTTGGCAGTTAAATGAGTTCCATCTGGTAAGTGGCAGTCTCCAAGCCTACTAGGTCTGAAGCCAACTCTGCCACTCAGAAGAGCCTCCAAGGCCTCTAGGCTTGATGGCCTGTGTACAGTGGTGAGAACACCACCGGCCTCACAGAGCTGCTTTTATAGGATGGAAAGAGAGTACGTAAGAGGGAACTATGAAAAGTTTATACAAAACTGGAATTCAGAGATGAAATTCGAAAATAAAAGCTTTATTTCTCAACGTAAGCTCAATTAAGGTCAAGACATGTTTGTAAGCAAAGATGCCGGGCATTTAGTCCATCCTTAAAGAACTGGGAGTTCTGAGAATTTAGCCATGTCAATGCGGTCTTTCTCTACGTTATTAGCAGAAGAAAAGTGGATGTCTTTCAAAGACTTTTTAAGACCAGGAAACAAAAAGAAGTCAGAAGGAGCCACACCAGGTCCACAGGTGGAGGCCTCATGATTTTCCATCAGGCCCTCACAGAGCTGCCCTTGTGTGGGGAGAGGAGCAGGCCAGAGCTTTGCTGTGGTGGAGGACGACTCTGGTGAAGCTTCCCCAGGGGCTTTGCTACCAAAACTCTTGCTGTCTTCCTCAGAACACTCTCATTATAAGCAGAGGCTGTTGTTTTCGGCCCTCCAGAAAGTCAACAAGCAAATGCCTGCGTGCTGTGGCCTCTGCTCTTGACCAGTCTGCTTGTGCTTTGGTGAGGCTGCCCACCCTGTGTCTGCTTTGTCTTGAGGATGGTGCTGGGAAGGCCACATTGCATCTCCTGTTACAGTTCTTTCAGTAAATGCTTCAGGATCTTGATCCCATGTGTTTGAAGTTTCCATGGAAGTTTCCATGCTGGTCTGCAGCAGACGGGCGTGCTAGGGTTTTGGCATCCACCAAGGGGAACCTTTGCCCACCTTTCAGTCATCACTGAGTAGCTGAGCCGACGTCTGTGGTGTTGGCTGTCGTTTTTGCTGTTCATCATCAGTTCTCTCTGATTAGGGCATGAGCAAGGGGAATGTGTTTTCCTTGAAAATGGATGTGGTTGGTCCACTGGCTGTGGCCTTCATCTTCAGCATCATCTCGACCCTTCTTAAAACAAGATATCCATTTGCAAACTACTAATTATTTGGGGCTCTGTCCAAAGAAATTCATAAACTTTTCATAAAGCTTCAATGATTTCACTATTCTTCCACCCAAGCTTCACCATAAATTTGATGTTGGTTCTTTTTTTTTTCTTTTTTGAGGCAGAGTCTCACTCTGTTGCCCAGGCTGGAGTGCAGTGGTATGATCTCAGCTCACTGCAACCTCCGCCTCCTGGGTTCTAGTAATTCTCCTGCCTCAGCCTCCCAAGTAGCTATAGGTGCCCACCACCATGCCTGGCTATTTTAAAAACTGAGATCTTATCAGTTAGCCTGCTTTGTCTTCAGGATAGTACTGGAAAGGTTCACCATGCCCGGCTAATTTTAAAACTGATGTCTTCTTCTTCTTAGTGCCTCGAACTAGATTCTGCTTAGTGAGTAAGAGCTTATTTTGGTGCAAAAAGTGTTGAAATCCATGCACAGTTTTTTCATAATGTATCTTCCACGGTTTTTTTGAAGACCCCTTGTATGTAAAGCACTTAGTACCATTCCTGGGACACGGCAGTGTCTTAATATATGGCAGGTGTTATTAGTAACATTAATGATTAAAACACAACCTTCATTTAATTCAATGCAATTCAAACACCTAAGTGATCATTCACTGGGACCAGTCCTGGAGATATGCAAGACGGGGATCCTGACCGTCCAGTAGTAGTCAACCTGGCAGAGGTCACAGCTTCCCATCATGAGGATACTGAGCAATGACCCAGGGAGTGACCAAAAGGCCAGGAGCAGCAGAGAAGGGCTCAGGGAGGTAGCCATCCTGTGGGTGGGGATGGGGGACCTCTGAGGACAGGGGCTACTGCAGGACACGCAGAGGCCCAGCAGTGTCAGGAGGAAGGCAATGGAGTGACGGTTCTCAGAGTGGCTCTCAGGGCACCCGCAAGCTCAAAGCTTTCACACTGCTGCACAGCCCTGCTGGGGCAACCACAGTGGCACGAAATGAGGAGCCAGACTGTGCAGTCATGACACTCACGTTCTTCACTCCCAGGAACTCACAGCAAAAACACAACAAAAATGCCATGCTTCATAACACAATGAAAATTGCTAATTTTATTCAATTCAGCTCCTGAGCACACTTTTTTCCAATTGACAAATGTTTATAGACTCATAAGAAGTCGCAAAAATAGTAGAGAGGTCACACACCTTCATCACCAGCTTCACCCAACTGTGCTATCTCACATAACACAGGAAGCTGACACTGGTGCCACACAGTGAACCAGGCCACCGAGCTCACTAGATTTTAGCACAGAGTGAACCAGGCCACGGACCTCACTGGATTTCAGCGCAGAGTGAACCAGGCCACGAAGCTCACTGGATTTCGGCGCCCAGTGAACCAGGCCGCGAAGCTTACTGGATTTCGGCGCCCAGTGAACCAGGCCGCGAAGCTTACTGGATTTCGGCGCCGAGTGAACCAGGTGGCCGACCTCACTGGATTTCGGCGCCGAGTGAACCAGGCGGCCGACCTCACTGGATTTCGGCGCAGAGTGAACCAGGCGGCCGACCTCACTGGATTTCGGCAGCTTTTACAGGCACTCTTTGGGTCTAATTCTGTGGCATCTGTCATGTGTATCTGGCCCAGAATTCTCATCACCACAAAGGATGGTCGCCTGCAGCCTCCCGCTGGCCCGTGCACCACTTCTCCTTCTGAGGCTGGCGTTTTGGGGATGTCATTTAGAAATGAAATCACACAGTACACCACTTTATAGGATTGGTGTTTTCCCTTGAGATCCAACCACGGCACTGCATGTGTCAACAGTCCCTTGTTTCACTGCTGAGGAGGAATCAGATGTGCCAGTTTGTTTAACCGCTCTTGAGCTGAAGGACATTTGAGTTATTTCCATGCTAGAGTACTGGTGTTCTTGACATCCTCTGTGTCTCTGCTGCAGAATGACAGCTGGCTCAGGAAAGCACATGGGCCGTACTCCATGCTGTGAGCTCAAGTAGCTGCTGTTTTCCCAGAACGCCTTTTTCACTTGAAAGGGCGCTGGGGAAGCTAGTCATTCAGTGTTGGCTATTTAGTAGACATTTGCTTCAAAATGAATAAGCTTGTAACTTCAAAGACAACAACACGAGTATTTGCTGCCAATGATGCCATCTGAGACTTTAAGCAAAAGTCAGAATTTTGAAAAACTTGCACTTGCCACGGTAAGCCTGACAGTCCTGATGCTCTCAGACCTCCCTGAGAGATCACAAATGCAGATTTTAAAAACTATTGTCACACAAAATGTGCCCACATTTGGAAGATCTGCACAATTCGGGAAACCATGTTGCCCAAATGACTAATGGCATGGTGTAACGCTATGAGACCTGGGTAAAAAGTCCACTCAAGATGCAAGATAGGGCTGGGTGCAATGGCGCATGCCTGTAATCCCAACACTCTGGGAGGCCAAGGCAGGAGGGTCGCTTGAGCCCACAAATTCGAGAATACCTACCTTCATACATAAGCTTTGTCGAAAAATGTTCATCAGATTCGGTCAGTGCTTCATCCTTATCCACCTCCAAGAGGTCTGAGAGCCTTGTGATCAGCACCTCCAGGGAGCAGAGGGAGCCTGTTCTGCAGTACTCCATTCCCGAAGGGGGAGAGATCTCAGCCTTCACATTGTATAATGTCTGGGCAGGAAAGGGAGAGAAAAGAAAAGAAATGTGCCTAAGTGGTCTTAAAAAACGCAACTAGAGGCAAGGACGGAGCTGCCTGCAGACCCTGGAGAGCTAAGGAAAGACGCACATCTGCTCGGCTGGCCTTGGAGCAACTGTGGCCAGTCCCTCTCAGTAATTCCCACCGGAGAGCGATGCAATGTTTTCCCAAGTCCTACACTCTGAACCTTAACATCCTTCTTTAAATTACAAACATTTTCAGGCAGGAAAAAAGGACAGCACAGCAACCCTCCAGCCGCCTATCACCCAGATCCCAAGATCTCAGCACTTTGCTGCCTCAGCGTCATCTATCGATCCACATACATTTCTGTAATTGCCTGAGGTATTTTAAAGCAAATTTCGGGCCAGGCACGGTGGCTCACGCCTGTTATCCCAGCATTTTGGGAGGCTGAGGTGGGCAGATCACGTGAGGTCAGGAGTTTGAGACCAGTGAAACCCCATCTCTACTAAAAATACAAAAATTAGCCAGGCGTGGTGGTGGGTGCCTGTAATCCCAGCTACTTGGGAGGCTGAGGCAGGAGACTCGCTTGAACCCAGGAGGTGACGGTTGCAGTGAGCTGAGATCATGCCACTGCATTCCACCCTGGAGACTCTGTCTCAAAAAATAAAAATAAAAAATAAAGCAAATTTCAGACAACCTGTTATTTTGCCCCATCTACTTCAGTATACATTGCTAAACACTAAGGACTTTTTCTTACCAAACACAATGCTATTATCACAACTAGCAAAATCAACAGGAAGTCCTTGGCATCACTCAATTCAGTCCATAATCTAATTTCTCCATATTTAGTTTCCATAATCAATCTATGCTCAGTGGCTATTCAAACATGCTTAGCATTCTACCACCACACATGACAAACAATCAAAACCCATCTGCTACTGCAAAGATGAGAAAGGGCTCACCCACTACAAACTGGCAGTTCCACTTCTAAAGGGATGGAGAGAGAGAGAGAGAGAGAGGTGGGGAGAGACAGAGAGAGACAGAGAGGGGGGCAGGCAACTTAAAAGTGTTCTGCTGGTATTGTAAAATGTTCAAAGAGATTTCGGTGTTCGTCTGGAGTCTGAGGCCATTTGCTGGGAGTTCACAGCCTAAACAGCAATTCCAAGAGTGGCCTTTCTCAGTGATCTACCAAATCCCCAATTACCTCTGTTCAGGCATGGGACAAACTCCCACCAGTTTCTAGAAGGGCCATGCTGGGACTTCCTGGGGCTCTCAAGCCACAGGGCAGAAAGGATCCCAAACACACAGATGCAAAAGTGCCAGTTGTGTGCCCAGGTGCCCGCAGGTCCTGGGAACTGAAGCAGTGGAACGCTGCCCTAGAGGCCCACTCAAACACCTCCCGTTCCTGAGACACTTCCGGCTGGAGCACAGTCTGAATATTTCTGTGCTACAGAGAGGATGCAGATTTGCCTCAGGGCCAGGACACCCAGAGCTGCAGCAGGAGGAAGAGAGAGGGGTGTGCGTGAACACTGCTCCTGGCCGCGCCTGGGAAGGAGAATCGTGGGGAGGAGGGACAAGCACGGCCCAGGGCAAGCAGCAGGGCCTCACCTGGCAGCCCCTGGGGCTCAGGCACAATAACCAGAGTTGCGGAGCCTCTTCAGAGAGAAATGTGAGCACTGACAGATAGCTTGTCTCCCACAAGGGGGCCAGGGCCACCGCGCAGGGAGGAAAGCGTCTTTATGACAAATGGGATAGGGAGAGCTGATGGGTCACAAACAAATTTGGACCCTACCTCTCACCATACACAAAAACTAAGTCAAAGTAGATCATAGACCTAAATGTAAGTGCTGAAATTACCAACATCTTGGAAGAAAATGCAGAAGAAAATCTTTTTGACCAAAGGAGATGATTTTCTAAGTCCAAAACAAAAAATTCAAGTAATAAAAGAGAGAGCTGAATTGGATTTCATCAAAATTTAAAACTTTAGTGCTTCAAAGGACAACAAATGGAAGAAAATATTTGCAAATCATATATAAGGCCTGGTACCTGGGATATATGAAGAACTTACAACTCAAAAATAAATAACTCTATTTAAACTTGGGGAAAGGATCTGAACAGACATCCTTCCAAAGAAGGCAGAAAAATGGGCCCCACGCCCACAGGAAGAAGCACGACATTACCAGGCACTGGAGAAATGCCCGCCAACTGGGACAGCCACAAGCAAAAAGACAGTGGGACAAGTGCTGGCCAGAACCCACTATGTTGCTGGTGGGAATGTAGGGCACTCTGGAAAAAGTTTGGCAGTTTCTTCAAAAAACTAACCATAGAGTTACCACGACTCAGAATTCCATCAGGTATTTACCGGGAGAATTGAACAGATGTGACCACAGAAAAAGTACTTTGGCCGGGCGCAGTGGCTTACGCCTGTAATCCCAGCACTTTGGGAGGCCCAGGTGGGTGGATCACTTGAGCCCACTAGTTCGAGACCAGCCTAGGCAACATGGCAAAACCCCATCCCTACAAAAAATAAAAAAATTAGCCAGGTATGGTGACGTACGTGTGCCTGTGATCCCAGCTACTCAGCAGGCTGAGGTGGGAAGATCATGAGCCCAGAAGGTTGAGGCTGCAGTGAGCTCTAATTGTGCCACTGCACTCTAGCCTGGGTGTCAGAGAGACCCTGTCTCATAAATAAATAAATTATTTATATATAAATTATACCATTATTAGATTTCATTTATTTAATAAATTTATAATCTTATTAATTCATTTAAATTTTTTATTAAATAGTTCTAAAACATGAAGGTCAAAACAATTTGTCTTGGTTGGAAGAAGATAGAGAAAAAACTGCTGATTAAAGACAAACACTTCAAATAAACATTGACAATTTCAAACAGTAAAGAGAAGAAAAGGAAGTATCACATATTGCACATTAGGTGAAAGAATCTCACTAACGGAACACAAACGCACACCTGTATCTACTCAGCTAGCTCCATGCTACTCTTCATCCCACACTCAGATTGGCTTCTACCAAATGATGCACAAGTTCTAAGAGAATCTTCACAATATTCAGCTGGCAGGTTTTCATACGTTTTAAGTTTTTCTTTTAAAATCTAGAGGTATGCCTTAGAAAGCAATGCCCCTGCAGTTGAAATGACTCCCAGAAATATTTCCAGGAAGTTATTCAGTCAACATAAGGGAAAAAGATAGAAGAGAAAAGGAGTCTTTGGGCTTTCCAATGACAAACACTCCTCTTAGAGATGCTCCAGGAGTGTGGGCAGCTCAGCTGTGTCACTTGAGAAGGGCCCAGGGTTCTAAACTAAAATAAAGACAGTCAATGATTCAACTACCCCAAGAATTAACTGCTTTTCTCAAGCTGCTCCTTCATTACATTGAAAGAAGTTGTCTATTCAGTGCTTCAGATTATAAAGAACATAATGCCATCTTTCATTTTCCTGCCCCACCTTCCCAAAATAATATATCACGTACGAAAAAATTTTCCACTTGAAATTCGTAAGTATACGGCTTTAAGGAGACAGACAGCTGTTCCTCAGAAGCTGGGGAGAATCCAACAGAGAAGCGGCAATGCAGAGGAGGAGGAGGCTCTTCTGTCCACGTCAGCTCCCAGACAAAGAACAGCGACTGCTGGCTGTGGATGTGCTGCAAAGAGAGCCGGCTGTCACTGTTCACGCAGTACCAGAAACCTCAAAGATGAAACAGACACTGCAGCGAAACGCACGTCACGCGAAGGGTGCTGAGGAGAGACACCATGAGCTGGCCCCTGCCTCGCTGCACTCCTCTGCACGCTGCTCTGGGCCCCGCAGCACCTGCCCCTGCCCTGACTCCCTCTGCCTGGCCTTGTCCCACCAGAAGATTATACAAAATTGGTACATGTTTAATTTTTTATGATTCCGTAAGTTTTATATCAGATCATCAAACGATAGCTTAATTTTTTTTCCTTTTTGAGATGGAGTCTCACTCTGTCCCAGGCTAGAGTGCAGTGGTGCGATCTCAGCACACTGTAACCTCTGCCTCCTGGGTTCAACCGATTCTGTCTCAGTCTCCTAAACAGCTGGGATTACAAGCACACGCCACCATGCCCAGCTAATTTTTTTTACTTTAGTGGAGACGGGGTTTCACCGTGTTGCCCAGGCTGGTCTTGAACTCCTGACCTCAGGCAATCCACCTGCCTCAGCCTCCCTAAGTGCTAGGATTACAGGCATGAGGCACCACACCTGGCCAATTTTTTTTTTCCTTTTTTTGAGAGCGAGGGTCTCACTTTGTCACCCAGGCTGGAGTGCACTGGCACGATCACAGCTCATTGCAGCCCGACCTCCCAGGTTCAAAAAATTCCCTCACCTCAGCTTCCCAGGTAGCTGGGACTACAGGCTCACACTACCATGCCTGGCTAATTTTTGTATTTGTAGACATGAAGTTTTGCTATGTTGCCCAGGCTGGTCTCAAACTCCTGAGCTCAAGTGATCCACCTACATGGGCCTCCCAAAGTGTTGGCATCACAGGTGTGAGCCACCATGGCCAGCCAAAGGATGTTAATTAGTATATAATATATCCCATGCAGCTCCGAAACAGGGGAATACATCATCAATCAATTAAAAAGTATATCTTGGCTGGAGGCAGTGGCTCACACCTGTAATCCCAACACTTTAGGAGGCTGAGGCAGGTGGATCACCTGAAATCAGAAGTTTGAGACCAACCTGACCAACATGGTGAAACCCTGTCTCTATTAAAAATACAAAAATTAACTGGGCATGGTGGCACTTGTCTGTAATCCCAGCTACTCGGGAGGCTGTGGCAGGACAATCGCTTGAACCCGGGAGGCAGAGGTTGCAGTGAGGCAAGATTGCACCATTGCACTCCAGCCTGGGCAACAAGAGTGAAACTCCATCTCAAAAAAGGATAAATAAAAATTTTAAAAATAAAATAAAAAGTAAGTCTTTACATCCAGCCAATTATTTTATATTTAAGTTAATTTAGGAACCAGCACAACCTAATGTGTGGACTGAACACCACTATTACATGTAAAGTCCACATCTACGAGCACAGTGACAAGCTCCAGTAATATCTAAAAGAGCGGGTAGAAAATCCTTTGAAAATGATAAAGATTCAGACACCCATTAAGAAAGTCTTTGATCTCTAAACACGCAGCATTTACTGCCTAAAAACACGTGAAAAGTAAACAGAAAAAGCAAGCTCAAGATTCAGCCAGGCCGCAGGGCATGAGCATGGCTCTTTCACAAAGGCCCCAACGCCAGGCACCGTCGCTCTGGCACAGGCAGGCGTCGGGTTATGGGCGGAGTGGAGAAGTGCCCATGCAACCAACAGCGCGTTCAAACAGAAGCTTGGATCTGCACACGTATCTACGCATACAGCGGGACCAGTTTCAGATTGAATTCTTTTAAAGAGAATTCATCCATCCGGCCACCCACTCACTCTGCACGTGAAAAAGGACCCGCCGGTGGCAGCAAGCCCCAATCCCGCCTGAGAACAGCTGGGGCTGCACAGAAGCCTCCGCGCGTCAGCAGGGCAGCCATCCTATCATAAAGCTGGATCGCAACACACAGCGCATCGTTTCCGTACCCTCTGGTTCTCTGCTGAGCAGCTTATGCTCAGGTCCACAATGTTTACCTGCTGGGACTGCGTGTTCAGGGGTACTAGCTGTAGGTCGGTACTATTGCGGGTATCCACAAGGTAACTATCTGACAGCTGGAAGTCAAGTTCTGACAAATTCTCGACACAAACTTGAACATATTTCCTAAAGCAGAAAAACAAGAAGTATTATTTAGATAAGTAAGAACTTTATTAAATATATCTTAGCTTTGTTAAGGAGACCCTCTCTGCCTGGGGAATCAAAAAAGCAACCTAGCAAAGTACACTAAGTTGTTGCATATATTTCTCCTTCAGATTTCACATGGAAAAGTATCAGAAAAAAATAAACCTTATTGGCCGGGCGCAGCGGCTCACACTCGTAATCCCAGCACTTTGGGAGGCTCAGGTGGGCAGATCATAAGGTCAAGAGACCAAGACCATCCTGGACAACATGGTGAAATGCTGTCTCTACTAAAAATACAAAAATTAGCTGGACATGGTGGCATGTGCCTGTAGTCCCAGCTACCGGGGAGGATAAGGCAGAAGAATTGCTTGAACCCAGGAGGCAGAGGTTACAGTGAGCCAAGGTCACACCATTGTACTCCAACCTGGTGACAGAGTGAGATTCCATCTCAAAAAAATAAATAAAAAATAAAAAACCTTTTTAAAGAGGTGATTTCTGTGAGGAAATGGAAGAATACAGTTTCTGACTAGCCTTATTAAGTGATTATGGCTGGTCACCCTCACTGGCCTGTGGGAAGCCAACGGGGAGAGAGGGGGGCCCTCATCATTAGAGGTGAAGACTCTCCACTGAGAGACAAAGGTTCTTTTAGAGATTATTGATATTTTTAAGCATTAAATCTACAGCTCCTTTTGCTGTGATTTGAAGGGGGAAAAAGCTGCTACTGTAATATTCCACTGTAAATATGGTTCTGACATTTGTGTTTAAAAATTATCCAAACGTCATCAATGGATAAAAGTTGTGGTGAGAGGCCTGGCCAGCATCCCGAGCCCAGTGGTCAACGCTAGCACCCTCACTAAGGTGGGACACCTGGACACCGTGGGCCTCCCAGTGCAGTCAATAGGAAGCCCACAGCCTCGCCTGGCTCAAAGCAGAATCAGAGTCTCCTCAAGCTTCTAGGGCAGCTGCTTTCCACGGGGGCAAGTCAGCCCCACCCAGAGGACACTAGGCAATGTCAACAGACATCTGTTGCTGCCACCCCTGGGGGTGGGGCGTGCTACTGGCATCTCACGGAGAGCCTGGGTGCGGCTCAACACCCTACAGCACATAGGCAGCCTCTAAAACAGTCATCTGGCCCAAAATGTCACTAGTGCTGAGCTTAAAAGCTCCTGTCCTAGAAGTTGCAGGCAATTGACAAGAGATACAGGGACAGGAGAACTAGTGAAACAAATCCAGCCAGGTCCAGGAAAGCGGGCCTCCAGGGCACATCTGGCCTGAGTGTGTCAGCAAGTCGATGGCTTGAAAATAGGGGGAAAAGGATGAAAAGAGATCTAGTGGTCAGGCGGAGATTTTGGACCCAAGTCACACAAACCAAGGGTCATTTTTCAGACAGCTGGGAACATCTGAATATGAACTGGGAGTCACAGGATACCAGGGAATTGTGAATTTTAAGAGATGAACAACGGCCTTGTGGTCATATAAGAAGACATCCTTGCTCATCAGGGAGGCCAGCTTTGAACATGAGGAACCCTCACTTAGGAGAGTCCCGGGAAAGGAGCTAGGGCCCGCACACCACACTTCCATTACCGTGTTCCTGAGGACAGCAGGGCGTGCGTGGTCCTGAAGGGTACACTGAAGGTCAGTGCGATGACCGTGGAGTAGATGGACCACGGGCAGTCAATCGACACCTGAGGAGGAAGCACAAGGACACACTCTCAGACCACTCTCCCGATGGACAGCACAGCCACCACCGCTGCTGCCCAGACACACCTGCAATGCCTGCCCATGCCCTAGACATTTAATTATGGCTTTAACCACTCATTATCCGGGAAGCAAAACTTTACCCAACACATGCACAAACCAACAAGAAACAGGAAGCTGCACGCCAACAAGAGAAATGAACACAGAACTGATGAGATGTGCCCGCACCACCAGATTCATCTCAACAGTGGAAGAGCTCAGCTGTCCCCTACGCAGCAGGCCCACCTGCTTTCCCATGCACGCAGGGCTGAGAAGCCAGGCATGTTCCCATGTGCACAGGGTTTAGACAAAGTACCTTCAGTCATATATTTCCAGATGACATTACTCAATCAGTAATGACCTCAAATTTAATGAATTATCTAAGTATTTAATCCATGTGAGGCTAAATATGTAACTGAAAACCAAATCAATTTTGGGGCACAGTGAGGACAAAGCTGTAACAGCCCTTAAAGGCAGGAAGGAAGCAAGTCCCAAGCCTTATTTCTCACAGGGAGGAGGTGAATACATCAGCATGCACGCTGCCAGCGCCAGGAAGAGCAGGATAACATAGCACACAGCACAGGCAGTGCCAGGGAAGAGCGGGATGCTTGAGCACACAGCACGGGTGCCACCAGGGAAGAGCGGGATAAAATGGTACACAGCATGGGCAGCGTCAGGGAAGAGCAGATACTCGAGCACACAGCACGGGCAGCGCCAGGGAACAGCAAGATGGCACATCACGCAGCACAGACAGCACCAGGGAAGAGCAGATACTTGAGCACATGGCACGGGCGGCGCCAGGGAAGAGCAACATGGCATGGCACACAGCACAGACAGCACCAGGGAAAAGCAGATACCCAAACACACAGCACAGGTGCCGCCAGCACCAGGGAAGAGCAAGATGGCATGGCACACAGCACAGACAGCACCAGGGAAGAGCGGATACTCAAACACACAGCACAGGTGCCACCAGTGCTGTGTGCTCCTGCTAAGCTAAGCGCCACCTTCATGAATGGTGAATGTCTGTATGAGTTAGGGGAAAGAAACTTCCTCAGGTCTCTTCAAAAACTGAACATGAAAACATTGTTCTTCAGGCATGGACTTGTCTGAGAACTTCATGCTTTGGAAGGATGGCATTCCTTGCCCTTTTCCCCACACTGCTCTTGGGCATATACTGTGACCCTTGGGCTATTCCACACAGCCCTCAGGACTGACTTCTGGCCTAGAAGACTTGGGTACACCCTGAATAACACAATGTAGACACATTCCATGAGCTGATTTCCTGTGGATCTGGGACCGAAATCACATCCCTCTCAAGTAACTGTCAATAAGTACCAGCACCAAAGCCTAAAAGGAGACAGCTCCTCCCTGGCTGAGCCCATGATGCCTCAGTGGACAGACACTGACACACACGACACAGACCTCCTATGGCCTCGTCACTGGTCAAATGGACAATGCCCCACGCCTAACGCCCCTCATGCCCAGGCCGCGCCGGACCTCTTACACTATACTCCCTGGGCCCTGGAGCCAAGAGGGAAAGGTAGAGCCGGCTTGTCTCTGTCCTTACAAAATGCACCCCTTATCTAAGAGGGGGTGATTCACAGACAGAACTGCTGAACAGAGGCCCAGGGCGTCAGGAATCAGAAGGAGCCAGGCTAACACCAGGCTTCACTACACCGCCTTTCCCAGCAGGCGGGCAGGCGGGGGAGGCCCCACGAGCTCAGCTCCTCCACTGCCCCTCCTCACTTTGTGGTCTGTGGTAACCATGCAGTGGCCAGTTTTCTGTTTGTCCTTATGCTTCCTATGGGGCTCTGGCGTCCCCAGCATGTCACTCTCCCCTCCGAGTGCTGGGGCTGAAGGTAAAGAGAGAACTTCCAGTTCAAATTCAATCACATGGTACGCAGGCGCGGTAGGCAGACTGATGCTTGTGACCTTGTCGGAGGACTGAATCCGGAGCGCGGCGTCAGAAGACTGTTCTATGAAAGACAGAAAAAGTCACTTCAAAGCTGATCCCTTGGTTTCACTTGTCCTTCTCCTTACAGCAGCTGATGGCCCATCCGTGATGCCACTACCCAACTCTTCCCGCTCCTGCGCACCTGGCAAGCAAACCCAAGAACAAAGCCCCTAGGCCAGAGCAGCCCAGTGTGAAAGCTGACAGGCAGCAGTCCAGACCCATCACTGCACTCAAGCTGAAGACAGGAAAAGGCATTTCCACGGGCTCACCCAAGTCCTGTGAATGTCCCTGCAAGGCATTCTCCCATTCCACGTCATCCACAGAGCCACCCCCACCCCCAGGGGAACAGGGTTCTCTCCTTCCCGTTCGCCATGGCTAGGGGCTGGGAGGATAGGATTGCTCAGGGCTCTGAACGACTCCCACAGGGCTGCTCTGCTTCGGCTTCTTGGGAGCAGGGCCAGCCTGGGGTGGACAGGGTCTGACAGGCATTGCCATGGGCCATGACCCCAGCCGTGACACCACATCTCCTAATCCTCAGCCAGGCGAACACTGCCCAGCCACCCAGCGTGTGAACCACTCTCGGTCTATAACCTCAAACGGATTCCAGCCCAGGCACCAGGCCGCAGTGCTCCTACGAAACACTGACTTCAGACACTGCTGAGGGGCATTCAACGGGACAACAGCAAGGCCAGGCTCACCCTCACACCCACGAGGTGCAGGGCAAGGTGGGCGTCCTCCTTGGGCCTGGATGGACAGCGCCTCACCTCTTGTGTTAGAGTAGACCACGGCCCTGCTCTCCACCGGGCACAGAAATAGCATGGCTTCTGCATTGCTGAGCTGCAGGCTGTCTCCATTCTTTATCGTATAATGGCCAGTAGTGACGGTGAACTTGACCTTCTGAGGAATGCCTGCCAGAAGACTATCTAAAGGAAAAGAGATCACGGCTCAGCACCACTGCCAACCAGAAGACAGCAACTCCGGGCCTGCAACGGGGTGTAAAGGGGCTCTGTTTCTTTTACTCTGAAAGATTTACTCCTTTGGGATCTCCATGAATTCTCTCTATTTCCATTCCCTTCTGCCCTAACTTTTCATCTCAATGAGGTGGACTACAGGGTTGAGGGGGAACCTTGCTGGGAAGAAAGAATTCTCAGTCCAGGAGTCTTATCCCCATCTTGGTTTAGCAAGTCAGAGATTATGATCATGACTATGTCTCTGAGGGTCATAAAATTTACCTGCCAGTAAGTCAGCAAGAGAGAATCAGATAATGAGGCTTAAGAAGAGACTAAACAGAGGCCGGGCACAGTGGCTCAAGCCTGTAATCCCAGCACTTTGGGAGGCCGAGGCGGGTGGATCACGAGGTCAAGAGATCGAGACCATCCTGGTCAACACGGTGAAACCCCGTCTCTACTAAAAATACAAAAAAATTAGCCAGGCGTGGTGGTGGGTGCCTGTAATCCCAGCTACTCGGGAGGCTGAGGCAGGAGAATTGCCTGAACCCAGGAGGCGGAGGTTGCGGTGAGCCGAGACCGCGCCATTGCACTCCAGCCTGGGTAACAAGAGCGAAACTCCGTCCCAAAAAAAAAAAAAAAAAGAGACTAAACAAAACCTGACTGTGCTGGCGCTATTGAGAATGTTCTCTGGCTTTTTCAGCTTCGGGCCACAGGCTCTCGGGGTAAGAACAGTCAGCAGTCAGGTGGCTCCCCTCACTTCCAGACAGCAATCAGAGGTGTGGGCAGGGGGCGAAGTGAGCTGAGGCCTCTAGGAATCCTGTTGCAGGGAAGGCAGAAGGAAGGCAAGAAGCAGGACTGGGGGGAGAGTGGACAGAGACAGGGGACACTAGGTGGGAGGGCAGGGCATGCTGGCTGGTGTGTCAGCTCCCCACGGGAATCGAGTTCAGCTTCTCCACACAATGTTCTCTGATGGAAGAAGAAGACAGACTACCGGGTTCCACACCTGACAGCCTTTGCTGGTGGCCACACAAGAGGCATACATGTGGAAAAACAGGGGAAGGGGGAGTAAACAGAAAAATGCTTCTTGTGATGTTTTTTCCAAATGGAAGAAACAGGCAAATAAATTGTTCTAGCCTGAACAAAGGAGACACTCACTCACTCCTGTTCAGCTGCCACGTGTTCTTCAATCATTTGTTAATATCAACTCCTTCCAATTTCAGGACTTATCAAAAGGACAATAGCTTTAAAATCATCACTTTCAAAGGAAAATTTTTTTTTTTTTTTTTTTTTTTTTAAGAGATGGAGTTTTGTTCTGTCACCAAGGCTGGAGAGCAGTGGCACAATCACAGCTCTCTGCAGCCTCAAACTCCTAGGCTCAGGAGGCTGAGGCAGGAGCCTGAGCTGGGACTCCAGCCTGTAGCTGGGACTATGGGTGCTCAAACTACACCCGACTAATTATTTTACTTTCTTATTTTGTAGAGATAGGGTTTCATCATCTTGCCCTGACTGGTTTGCCCATGCTGGTCTCAAGCCTTAGCCTCCCAAAGTGCTGGGATCTGAGGATAGAATATAAGTAAATCTAGTGTTTAGCATTTGAAATGTACTTCTAAGCAGGAAATTATATACATATTTATTAAACTCTGTGGTTAGACATTAGCTGCTACTCAGCTAATATGACACTGTAAGATATACACATAGTCTTCAACCCCATTTCCAGGCATACTGGCTCCCAAATTCCTTAGAATCTCCAAAGTGATGTGTTTTTGTAGGCTCATGAGTTGACTGGAGGCTGGCAGTCCCCAAGCCAGCTTCAAGGTGGGGACTGGTCACCAGAATGACCAAAGCAGAAGTAGAGGGTTGCCCCTTTCAGCAGCGCCACCCGGCCTCCAGGGAGGAAAGAGGGGCTGAAGATCAAGTGGCTTATCCGTGGCAGTGGTTTAATCAATCACGCCCGTGTAATGTTGCCTCCATAAAAAACAAAGGACAGGATTTGGAGAGCTTTCAGGCAGCTGAACACATGAAAGTTCCTGAAGGGTGACACCCAGGGAGGGCACGGAAGCTCTGCACCTCTTCCCCCATACCTCACCCTATGAATTTCTTCAACTATATACCTTATAATCAACCCATAAACGTGTTTCCCTGAGTTCTGTGAGCTGTTCTAACGAATTAAACCCAGAAAGGGGGTTGTCGGAAGCCTGGTTTCTAGCTAGTTGCTCAGGAGCACAAGTAGAAGAACCCTGGGCTGGCAGCTGACATGGGAAGTCGGGGACTGTCTTGGGGACTGAGCCCTCACCCTGTGGTGTCGGCTCCAGAAGACAGGGCCAGAACTGAATGAACTACAGGACTGCTTGTGGGGCTGACTGCTTGCTGGCTGGCAGGGGGAAATCCCTGCACACTTGGGCCCAGAAGTCCTCTGCAATGATTATTAGGCTGAATGAGCAACAGAAAAAACACTTGAGTTTCTTTTTTTCCACTCTCAGAGCTAATTCTTCTGTGTTTCTTATTTTCAGATGCACCATGTTTATTAAACATGAAAAACCAATTATAGGAAAGCAAATATTCAGATAAACAAAAGACGCAGTCAGCTAGTTCCCAGGCAAAATTTCCATTATGTTACCCAAAACATCTCTTAAAGGCAGACACAGCTAAAAACTATGAGAAGCCTGGCATCTCAGCAGGTCCCCTCAGAACCGCCCAGAGCGTGCCTCCCGAAAGGCTGGGGACCCACTCACCAGCCAGCGGCTCCACGTGTAGCTGGGGCTCCTGTGAGTACACGTCGTACTGCACAATGGGGTAGATGTGAGGAAGGACGAACCACACAGAGCCCACCGAGGCGCACAGCTGCCTGAGTGTATACGTTCCGGGTTCCTTGGCCTAGGGTCAGAACATCAGGCATTGGAAAGCACGTCACCCAGTTCTGTTGTTAGGAGCTTCCTGCAGTGGCGCTGTGCAGGGGTTTCTCTAAACTGCAAAAAGGAGTGAACTTCTTTCCCTCTTGCTCCCCCAGCTCTTGTGTCTAAACTTCTAAGCTTGGGCTGTTCAGAGGCCCTCAGAGTCTCTCAATTTATGATTTTCTGAGTAACTGATGGTTAAATTTAACTTTAATATTTTCAACTTAATAAACTGTATTTGTGGCACGCTCTTTAAAGAGTGTATTTAGTAGAGATATTCAGCACGAGATTTAAACCCTGCTCTAGACTAAAAAAGTGACAAATAGTACTTTCCACAAGACTGATGCCATAAAATCATGAGAAAAAGTAAACAATTATGGAATATTTTATTCATATAGCGATAACAAGGAACACTGGCAGGAAAACACAACTCAAATAGTCTCAAATACAAATCCTGTTATTAGTGGAACTCACAGGATATGCTATGTCAGAGAAAACTTTTTGTTAGAGGGGGTGAGAAGCACCAGTTCTGAGACCCAGCCAGCCACAAAAGGAAAATAAGGTTGAACAAGAAACTGTACCACCTTCTTTGAAATGCAGATTTTCATACAC